CGTACAGCGCCGTTGGACCCCGAGGAGGGAGCCCTGAAGAGCACCGTGCTGGGTCAATGCCGTGCAAACACGCGCGACGGTTCTACGCCTCCTCGGGAACACGATCGACAGGATCGCAGGATCTCGTCGTGATCCTTTGACAGATTACTCGGCGCATGAATATAACGATGGGTTGGTAATGGTTTCCAATGACAAATTGATTCTGTTCTCAACGGGTTCGAAACTAATGCCATGATATATGAATATTTTACAGGAAATATGTATACGCGTTCCAAAAGGAAAACATTGATCGTTTGAAAGTCCTAGATTTGTATTTGAAGTCTGTGGCCACTGAAACCGGAAGAAGAGGAGTCCCCCGTCTGGTATAAATAAGACAGAATTTTGCAATGGCGGAGAAGTGGGGTGCAGTGGTTCTCGTTGCATCCATCTTGTGGGAGCTAAATGACCGTAGTATCGGATAGCGGTTAACGCGTAGAAAAGGAAGTATAAATACGACGAGGATCGTCGAGATTGTTCCCTTTTCTCGTAATTGAGGTGCACGTCGGAGGAGCAGGAAGCGTCGAGAGTGACTCGTAGCCGGTAGAAAAGCCTCGAGGTCGAGTCTGCCAACCCGCGGGTATTTTCATCGTCGGGCCGCGGATCGCGTCATCATCCATCATCGGCCTCAACGAGCCGAAAGAAATCGCTGCTCGACGCCGTTCCTCGAGAGGTCTCGTTACCCGAAACGGGGTCGATTCTGCGTGACGTTCGCCCCGGAAACGGTCGATGCGGCACTTTGGCCCCTGTCGATCGGCCGAATACGAAACGATAGGCGGAAAATTCTTTTCGTCGGCATCTCTCGATCCTTTACAAGCCCATCGAGAGTGCGCTCGCGTCGAACTCGAGGCTCGAGTGTCTTGAAGAGCCGCCGATCGGTGTAACTTCTCCGTTCGTTACGAGTCGTTCGACTCGTTAATTCAGTATCGATTCTCGATCGCGTCCCAAAGAATCCGCCTCGAGGACCGTCGAATCCGCAACAGCCTTTTCCCGCGATGAAAATATCCTCCTGTCTCCGCGTTTAATGGATACCCTCGAATGGTAACCTCGGATTAGTCGGCAGTTTCGACCAGAAATTTAGTATTTCGCGCGCCGAACTGAAGCCACGTTCCTCGACTCGATCGTTTATGGTTTTTTGGGGGAAAAGTGCGCCACGTACGGGAAATTAGTTTCGATTTTATGATCTAGCTGATGCATCAATTTCAACCCTTTATAGTCACGCGTGGTGTCGCCTTTGCTCGCCTACAGAGGGCTACGCTATTGTCTCCCTCTCTCGCAAGCGTTCGACCGACTCCGTCCGTATACAGCACCTCTTCGAATTTTTTTCTAGAAAACGCGTAGGATTTCGGGGGTATGTCTATTGACCAAAAATGATTGTAATTGACCTCCGCAACCGAGAATAATTTTTCCAGAACGATTAGAAAATTTTTTTTTCACCGAAAAATTTAGACTCCTTCTCGAATTTTTTTCTAGAAAACGCGTAGGATTTCGGGGGTATGTCTATTGACCAAAAATGATTGTAATTGACCCCCGCAATCAAAAATAATTTTTCGAGAACGATTTGAAATTTTTTTTTCGCCGAAAAATTTAATGATCGTTATGGCAATCAGATTGGACCACGAAAGTTCATAAGGTGTAAGATCAACTAGTATATACCTCGTCTCGATTCTCGTCTTATTTTTGCCACTTTTCTCGCTTCCTCCATCCATCAGAAGCAACACCCACGCACGTAACAAAAGGCGAGATCCCTTTTTCGGTCGCCACGCTCCAATTTCCCGCGTTCCTCGCGCAGCGTCTAGCGGGGGCACGTAAGATCCGCGCAGAGTTCTCGCATAATGATTCGTTAGTCCTCCCCGGGTGCCAGCCATCGCGATCTACCTAGCAGAGCACGACTACGACTTCTCGTACGTAGACTTCGAGTGGCCGTAAGTGGATGGTACCGCAGGGTGGCAGTGTGCCCGCGCGTGCACACAAACACACACGTAGACACACACACACACACACACACGTAGACACGCGTGCACGTCATACCGGGAGCTCGTTTGGTCTCTATTTGTCCCCAGAAGTTCAAGAGTCTGCGACACACACGGGCTTCGTGTATGTCTCCCCGTCTGTCTATGTGCGTGTGCGTGTATATACAGAACGATCAGCACACCCGGCCCCCCCTAGGTACTCCCTGTCTCCCTTTCTCTCGTCGCAGCCTCTCTTTCGGCGTCCCGGTTGCTCCGTGGCTCTGGCCTTCGGTGGCCAGCATTCACGGCTCGAGCGAGATCCCGAGTGCCATCGAGTCTGAAACTCGTTATCGAAACTTATGTGCCGCCTCCGCACGCTCGCCCTCCGCGGCGAGCCACGCGAAAATCCGCGGCTGATTGCAATCAGCCCTCTTTGCGGACTTCCGCGCCCGACTTTGCCCGCTACGCGGTCGTCCGGGGGAGCCACGACGACTTCCGGTTTAGGGAGCCGCGGGACCAACCTCTTCCCCTCCAACACCCCCTCATTTCGAATCGACCACGTTTTAACACGGATTCACCTCCTTTCGAACTACCCACTCGTCCCACTGGGGGGCAGAATCCAAGAAAACACGAACGTTTCGATGGTCCACCATGGTGGCCATGTTTCATTAAAATCAGAAGGATAGAAATGAATTTTATCGAGGCTGCAATTAACAACCCTTTATGTAATTATTCTATGTTCGATGGAAGCTCTCATCCTACTTACTTTTCCCCTCCAACCCCCCCATTTCGAATCGACCACGTTTTAACACGGATTCACCTCCTTTCGAACTATCCACTCGTTCCACCAGGGGAAGTACCCAAGAAAACGCGAAGTTCCAAAGATGAACGTTTCGATGGTCCACCATGGTCGCCATGTTTCATTAAAATCAGAAGGATAGAAATGAATTTTATCGAGGCTGCAATTAACAACCCTTTATGTAATTATTCTATGTTCGATGGAAGCTCTCATCCTACTTACTTTTCCCCTCTTTAAAGGGAAACCCCCGAATTACGAGTTGCGAGTCGCGAATGCTTTTTGCTATTTAAAAGGTGAGAAAAAGGAACAATTTGAACAAATTCTTCGTGTGGTGTCAATAAATTTACATTGAATTCGTTCGAACAGGATCGTGAATGAACCCAGCAGTGAACGACGAACGGATTGAACGGAGAGACGCGTCGCAGACGAAACGGCAGACTGAACGAGGGGACGAGCGACCAGGATGCAACCAATGAGCTGAGCAACAATTATTTATTGTTGCCAGACTGCCGCGTCGAGCCGGGCAGACCTGTCTACCCAATGAAGATTGCTCGTTAAAGTCTGATTCTGGCCCCGACTATTTTAAATGGCCACCGCCGAAACGATTCCGCTCGAATCCGCCCACGCGCGCCCCCCCGAGAGACACCGAAAACAACAGAGAAAAGCTATGTAAAAGTCCACGTGTTGTCGAGAATACACAGTGGTGATTTTAACGTCCGCGAAATGGTAATCGTTATGTCACGATGTAAGGATATAAGAAATTTCTTAATGACGTTGAACGTGTACGAGCTACCCACGTGTATTCTAGCTTTCACGAGACTTACGTCAGGCGTAGTTAATCCGTGTCGATCGAACGGAGAGAAAAATTTCGGGTTCTTAAGACAATATTTGCCCGTCGTTCCGCTGGACCTCTATCCCGAGGCCTACCTGGTCGAATTCCGTTCTCTCTCGCGTCTCGAACAAACACAGTCTCTCGAGGACTATTCCCAACATCGTCCACGACGATTTGCTTAACACTTTCGGTACTAGATTTGTCCCGATCGCTACCAAAATTGCCCAACATCCATTACTCGTTGGGCAGGAGTATAGGATTTTGGGTAAAGTACTTTCGGAGTTACTAGTTTTAAGCAAGCTCGAACGATGTTCGCGTGACAGATGACGCGATAAAATGTCCGCCAGTTTCGATGGAATTTCGTCGACGATAATCGAATGTCTCTGCTCGACAGCAGCCGCCTCGACGTTTCCGGCTAACAACTCCGAAGCAACCAACGCCCCTGAGGTCGATCGATCCGATTGGCCGAGAGACGCAGATACACCCACGCGTACACCCACCACCTGCTCCCTGCAATTAATCTCCTCTCAGCAATTAATCCTCGTCATGCAGCCAGCGTGCGTGTGCGTGTGCGTGTACTCGCGTGTGCGTGTGTGTTCGTCCCACCATCTCGAGCATCGCGTTCTACAACCGGAGGAAACAGGTGGGTCGATCCGGGACCGATCCAGGCGAAATCGACGCGGATTACGACGTCGCTACGTTGTAATTAGTCCCGACGGGACGTCGATACCGATTACAGGAGAGAAATGGAGATCCAACGAGCTACGAGACTCCAGAACCTTTAATCGTTAACGTTAGAAATACCGTCGACCGCTGTACGTGGAATATTTACTAACGGAACACGTTTTATAGGTGTCTGTCAGGTCTATTTCCGATCCCATCCCTGCGAGAACGTCTCCTCCGAAGCTTGAGAGACTACCCTACGCGCGTGATCAGCTGGGGTCAAAGGCAAATTAGTCTAACTGGTAATGGCGGCCATCTTTGAGGCCTCTAAACGCACACTGTAATACATCAGGTTTCGTACCTACGTCGTTTTCGAGATGAACCTGAAATACTGCCCCTGATAACCATCTTGTCCCCGCTATAATGTCACACTTAGGAGTATGAGACCCAACAGCAGATAACACTAAGTCATCTCATTTGTATGTCACTAGGAACAATATTCAAAAAGGCTTTCAACATATGGCTTCCATTCTGTAAGTCGATCCTGTCGTTCGTCAAGCAAAGGGCTCAAAGGTACCCTGCAGTTCTTACATAGCAACGTAAACATCGTGATCTCGTTCCATCGGAAGGTCTCACGTTCTCGAAACAATACCCCAACCGTGTAAGGCGACCAAAGCGACAGAGAGGATGATAATAAAAAAAAAAGTTTCACACGTACCTGAGTGGGGGTGAGATTGATCAGGGAGGCTAGGTGTTCCCGTTCAGGCGCGCTCAGGTATTTCTGCTGCTTGAACCGCCTCTCAAGCTCGTGAACCTGGTGCTGAGTGAACAGAACGCGACGCTTTCGTCTCTGTGGCAGGTGGGGGAATTGCATCGCGCTGACGCCCATGCCAACGCCGACGCCGACGCCGACGCCCATCCCCATGCCCGACGATTTCGTCACGTCGCCCATTGACTGGCCCACCGAGCAACCGGCCATGTTGGACCCGGCGCCCGCCGCCGCGGCGCCCATCAGCCGCGAGACTGCAAAACATATTGGAGAAACCGGGGATAGTAATTTCATTTTTATCTTAGTCTTACGATTACATTTGGCCATTTTAAGGAAGCATTTCTCTTAATATTAACATGATTCATATCACAGATGATGTCTTCCTGTCTCTAACAACAACCTTTCTTGATTCAACTGTTCTAGGTATTGAGGATGAAGGTGTCCCAAAATATGTGAAATTACAGTCCATTCTGGTAAGGTTGAATCTCCATCCTGATATCACCCAAAGGAATTTAAGTGCTGACTACATGCAATGGCGATTTGGAGAAACCGGGGATAGTAATTTCATTTTTATCTTAGTCTTACGGTCCCGTTTGGCCATTTTGTAGTAGCATTTCCCTTAACATTAACATTACTTCTACCAAATGATGTCTTCCTCTCTCTAACAACACCCTTTCTTGATTCAACTGTTCAAGGTATGGAGGACAAAGATGTCCCAAAATATGTGAAATTGCAGTCCATTCTGAATCACGATAGACGTTGCAATAAGGTTGAATCTCCATCCTGATATCACCCAAAGGAATGTAAGTGCTGACTACATGCAATGGTTTCCAGAGGACCACCCCGTGAGGCTTGGTATTTAGCATAACCGAGGCATTGTTGCAACAATAACGAGCCGTAGACTCCTACTGGACGAACGTCCGCATTCCCCGAGCGACGTGCACGCGCATTACGGTGGTGGCGCGTTTAAAATAATTCTTCGTAGAATCAGAAGGTGGAGAGCGCAGGGAACGGAGAAAAGTGGAATGGTGACGCGATCCCTGAGGTAGCACGGACCCGTGGATGGAAGAGAGACACAACGAATGGTCGAGCCTCTGAATTCGAGCTACTGAAACCCAACGAGCAGTCCATCCCTTGTCAGTTGGCGAGGGGCTGTCAAGAACGGCCACGTCGGTCCTGGACAAAAGGAGCGATTTAGCCGCGCGAAGCGCAACGTCATCGAGCACGGGAGGTCCGGACGATGAAGTCCCGAATTATTATTATGTCTGTGAGAACCGTACTCCTCCTCCGGGCCTGTCAGGCCAGTCCCGTGGCGAGAAAGACATACCACTCGAGACACCCGGGAGCAAACACTGCCGAATTTGTTTACGCACGGACCGCGTGCATCGCCCGGAAAATTGATAAGAATTTCTTTCCAGGACCATGGAGGATCGAACAGTACACAGGGTATGCAGAGTCCCGAGTATGCAGAGATTCTGAAGACGTGGAATACAGTTAGATCTTGAATTCCAGCGTTGGAAACGCGAGGCAAATGACCCAATTTGAAAGATTGTAGATGTGGAAGACTAGGAGCTCGATCATCACCTGATGATATAAGGTAGTTTTTGAGAAGAAATGTAGAGGTTCCCGGTACCAGAAGGTATCGATTTTAAAAGCATCTTCATCTATTCTAAAAACATCAACGTTAAACGTTGGTCTGGATGATACTCCATTAGACACAAAACAATCGATTAGCTTTAACATTGCAAATCTTCGTCCGCAGAAGAGATATTGAAAGGAAACAGAACGCTCGAACGAGGAAGCACAATGCAGATATTTTTCGGGGTAACCCAACAACGTCTCGATCGATCCACGCACAGCACTCGTCGGTAAGGGTGACACAGATCCAACAAGCAACTTCCTAGTGGACGATGAGTCGTCTCTTCAAGGACAATGAAACCCGACCGAATCAACCGACGACCTAACTCGCGCGTTGGGATCTCATTAAGCAAATTGACGTGTTCGAGCATCTATCTTTTGGCCACCGGCGACGAAAGGAATCCTCCAGATAATTATACAGGGTGTTAAGAAGAAGGATTCGGGGCCCCTCAGGGCGGACACGGTCGAAGTCTCGTTTATCGTTTCTGTGCATCACTTTCGATAGAATTTCCTATAAACTTTCATTCACACCTGATGAAATTCCTGATTATGGTTACAGCTGTAATAACGTTTAGAGCCATAGACAAGTGGACGTAAAAGAATAGTAAAGAATAAGCAGGCGTCTTCTAAACAGCTGATTGGAAAAAAGCAAATGGCCAGAGCAAGCCTGCGAAAATCCAACGTGAAACGAAAATGCCTCGAAATCCTCGTAGCCAGGCGGAAATTGAATTCGAGTAACGTCGAGCCGGCGCGACGAGGGTCGTCCAGCCTTATTTGTTTAACTAAAATCTCTCGTGGCGTTCGGTGGCCACGCGTTTTCGAGCCAGGAGGATCGATACGTCTCCGTCGGTGACCGGAGTGGCGCGTGCGACGGACAGAAATCCAAGGAAACGTACGTCTGTTGACACAGGGACGAAGGATTCGCGCTTTTGTTGCCCGGCAATCGTTTCCAGGAGCCCTGGTGCGTCTACGTGGATCCTCCTTAAACGGTATCGACGGCTGAGGACGTTTCTCCGCGAACTCCAACTCCGCTGAAACGCTATGGCGGCAGTTTCGCCGTTAATTGGTCCCATTTAGTTTGTAGTGGGAAACCCCTAATGAAGCAATTCGTACCGCGTATCTTAGGACCATTGAACTCGATGTACATCTTCAAGGTGTTATAAAAATGATCATAGCGCTTGTTAGAGGCCCGTGGTTATGACTCAGACGTTTTTGTAAGACTCGAGATCCAGCCTAGCTCAGAGTTCGTCACTAGGACTTTACATTGATAGAAAACAACCCACAAATAGCGATGAATGAAGATAATACTAGACGTACATAAAATGCTTATTCATGAAGATAGAAGTAAATAGACTCCGTTTTCATGGCTTGAGAATGCCCAACGTGTGACGCCATGCATAGAAAACAACCGTCGATGGACTTTGCCTGCTCCTTCTGTATTAACGGCTGAAGAATTCCATAATAAGGCCTCGGGTGTACGTGGCATTCAAACGTCCATTTTCCGAACGGTGGAATTCATGAGACCGTGTTACGAGGCAACGACACGAAAAGACAGACTGCTGTGGACTTTGAAACACGACCCTGACATTTCATCGATACTTAAATGGACCTAAACGCCGGACAGCCGCGACTCCGTGGGACGCGAGGCCGATAAAAGCGGGACAGACGTGCCTGCTGGGAAGCGAAGGGGATGATCGCGTGCAACGCGAGTATCGAATTCGAAGACATTTCAGAAAGCGACTACAGACATTATACCACCGCCTTTCTGTTACAGTAGTTTGATTTTGACGGCCACTATTCTGGTTCCCCGTCGGTACACTCAAGAGTTCAAGGGGTTACATCAACTCGACGGGCCCAAAACGAGCAAGAATCTTTTACAGGACACGTGTGCCATCGGTTTAAATAACTAGTCATACCATGTACGATCTGTTTGTTAAGATTTACAGAAGAATTTTTGTTGCAGGGTCCACGTACAACCGAGGAAATGGCGTACGTGTGTGTTTAGGATTATTGGGCAGAGCACTGTTGTTTTACGGGCCTAACGAATTACATAATTGGACGCTAGGTGATGTTGGTTCGCATTGTCGACAGTTGACTGCGTTATCGACTATTCTAAGAGCGTGAAATTTTAGATACCGATACGGGGCCCGCGAAGGTGGCGCAAACGACGCCTTAAGGAGGAAAAGCAATATACTCACTGGCAAACCTTGGGTCGTTGGTGGCCGGCGGAGCGGGCGCGTACCAGGGATGATGAGACCTCATTGGGTCGGTGGCGGTGGCACCTCCGGCGACCCCGGGGCCCCCGTGATGATACGGGGACAACTCGGCCGCGCAATACTGATACTGTGAGGTGAGCTGCATGGTGGCGTAAGGATTGCCCATGGCGGTCATGCCGGGACCGGCAGCGCTGCTGCCTCCACCGGCGGCGTCGTTCGCACCGGAAACCGGTCCGGGAGTGCCGCCACCGGGCGTCGAGCCTCCGTGAAGCGGTGGACTGCCGCTGCTCGCGCTCGAGCTACCGGTATTGCCGCCCACTCGGGCGCCGCACGCGTTGCCGTAAGGCGAGACCTGAGGATGCGTGACCACGCCGACGCCGATCGCCAACTCGAGTTTCCTGTACGACTCGTCGATGGGGGACAGGATGTCGGTGACACTGAACGGAGTCGTATGAGCGCCACCAGCGGTTTGTACGTGGGACGAATGCTGTTTGGGGGACAGGCTCATCGCCAGGTCAATCCCGTTTAGATCTGGCAGCAAGCTAGCCTGCTCCAGCTGTGTTTGTTGTTGCTGTTGTTGCTGCTGCTGTTGTTGTTGCTGTTGCTGTTGTTGCTGTTGCTGCTGATGCTGATGGTAGCTGGTGGCATTACCGTTACCCTGGTTCCCGGCGTTGTTTCCGCCGCCGCCGCTGCCACCGCTCATCTCGGCGAGGCCAGCGCCGTCGAAGTACTTGAAGCTCGCGCTTCGCGGAATCCTGAGGCCGGCGCTAACCGTGAGGAAACGACATGACGGACCTGCCACCGCCGCCAACCGCGCTGACCTCGACGTTGTCTCGGGTATCTCGGCGAGACGGCAGCCCGTTTGTTCGCCGACGCTCGGTACCTGGTTCAGATAGTACTTGAAAGCCTCGCGTTCAAGGTACCGGTCAATGATTGTAACGTGTGGTCGGACCGGGGCGAGGGAGCGAAACGTCGAGCAACACTATGCACAATTCCGTATAGGCTTCACTGGTCGCACTTTAGAGGGCACACTGATAGATAATCCTCGAACGCACGATTCACTGGTTCTTTGCCGTGGTTGTCGCGAGTCACTGGGATCAACCGATCCGGTACAGTTCGGGAAACGCGTCCATCGTATCGTCAGACGCGAACTCCACCGTTCCGGGACGCGTCGAACGACGACAATGGGTCGTCCGACGCATTCTATTCTCTGTTCGAACGCACCGGATCGGAACGCGGTAACAAGATGCACAGGATGGTCGATGGTCGATGGTCAAGGACAACGAACGATCGCAAGAACGGAGGAGCACAGAGTTCACGGTGCGTCCGCCGCGTCGTGGCAGCGAGGAGTCTCCTTTACGAAGGGTTTCGCGCGCGCACCGGGGAACCGGACGAGCAGTCGACCGACCCTCGGAGGACGAAGGTGGTCCCGGCTGGCAGGTAGTCACCGACACGGTACGATGGCACGTCACGTCACGACACCGAAACGACACGACACGACAGCGAAGAACGCTGGCACACACGTGGTCGAGGATAGTGGCCGGCCAGAGCCGGCCGGCGGCCGACTGAAATCACCCGGGGGGTCTTGGAGTCCTTGGACTCTACCGATAGAGAGACGATGGTAGATGTACCACTCTACGGTTCGCCTCCACCTTCGTCGAGGATACACTCTCTCTCCGTAGGAGAGGAGAGCGCGTCTATGGATGGCTGGCTGACTGGCTCGCTGGCTGGATAGATGGATGGATGGATGGATGGATGGATGAATGAATGGAGAGGACTGTCGGGTACTCCTGGAGAGGTCCTCACGGCCGCTTAGACCCACTCGACCAGCGGCTCGGCCGGTCGCGCTCGCTCGCTCGCTCGTCCGGGCTCGGGCCCCACAGCCTCTCGCGGAGAACCCGTACGACGACACGATGAGTGGAGTGCCCACTACGGAGAAGTGCCTGCTACCAAGAGTCGTGATGAGATGTCCCCTTTTGCGTGTGAGAGAAGGGCTCCCACTCGGCCGACTAGAGGGGGTCGCGGGGCTACCTAACCGACCTCCACCCAGACCCCCGGTACCACCGAACCGTCCTCCCATTGGCCGAACACCGCCAATCCCCGTCCTCGGTCGCTTTCATTCGTTGTCCCTCCGGCGTGCTACGCGTCCCGCCGGGGCTGCGCCGCGCTGATCGACGCGACGCCGTTGGCAGGCTTTCCCGCAGACCTCCTGGAACGCGTCCGCCTATCGCGCGGCGATCCCCGACTCCCTGCGGAGGACCACCTTGTCCGCCTCGTCTAACTCCGCGTTTCATGGCCACCCGAACTCGGAACGGCCCACCTTCCTCGCCTTACGCCCCTTCCAAGAACCAACGTTCCATCCGTCTCTCTCACCGTCTAGCTTTGTCCTTGGGAACGCTTCTCCGTCGGCACACGCGCCTTCATCCACCGCTGGATTCCCTCGCGTCAGCCGCCTGACGACCTTACCGACCATCTTCTTACACGACTCCGACCGCTACCACCGATGTCGCGGCGTGACGCAACGTGTCATTTACGGACACCCTCCCCCGCGCAGAATACGTCTAAGCGGACTATGGGAGTTTCGCGCGCGCGCCAACTTTCCAAGATTGATGTAAGTCTTGTTTTCTTTTTCACTTACCGTACCCGTAGAGCATACCAGGGATCGCTATGGCGTGCTTGCAGTATTCGCCCCGGCATTTTGCCATCCGTCCACAGCTCCAAAATAGATGTACGCCTGAAAATAAGACCATCGAGAATTAAATTTATCGATGTTACAACCGTGAATTAGTATACATATCGAAAATGAAGGATACGATTTTCTCGTTCGAGACTTTAGTTTCGAGATAATTGAATTTGAAAATTCATCGTATGTCTGTCCACCACCCACTCTTTCTACTTAGGCTCAAGTCCAAATCGTATAATAATTATATTCTATTGCGCGCATACATAATGAGTCTCCAAAACCGATTTTCTCTTTTCAATTTGTTCTTTTCGTCATCATTTGTGTTTGCCACGCGTGAACCTAACGATATGAAATTGCCTAACTCAACAGGACCCTTCCCGGCATCTATCGAGCATTCTTTCAACGATCGAACGCTTCCTCAAAGTGTTTTCGTTCGACGATGTTTCGTCCCATTAAAATGACCAGTCAGATGTTCCGTGTTTGTGGATTAATAACAAATTGCGCGAAAACCATAAACATTGAAAGCAATGGTACTTCGAGCATTGCATTTATACGATTACGCTCGTTATTATTTCATATTTTATTTATATAACCTCGAAGCTTCGTATCTTCTTCAATTTGATTCAAATTCATTCGCTTAAAATTGTAAAATATATTTGGTCTAACATATAATGTTTTCAGCTGCCACTGTTAATTTGTTGAAAACGCACGTGCCGCTGGTGTGTAATGCGAGGAATGTAAACTTCTTTACAAAAAGTAAGTTGATTTCGTTTCTCTTGAACATTATATTATCTGTTATGGTTAAGTCTGTACTGATTAAAAAGCTTTTATACTGTTAAGGACCAGCCAATCTACTATGGAAGTCTGTCATCAATGTTAGTAACGCTGGTAAAAGGCGAGGAAGAGGCAAGGGTGCACCAAGAATGTTCGATTTAAACAAAGGTCAAAAGATAGGCTTTGGAAAAGCACAATTGACGTTTCCAGGATTAAATGCACTGATTAGGCTGGACGTAATGGTTCCGCAAAAGCCAGTTCCTCTTAGTCAAAGCATAGAAAACGTAGCAACGCCACTTCAAAACAAATATTCCGTACGTAAAAGACAAAAGCTTTCACCTTTAGAACGTGGTTGGACTGGAAGTAGAATGGGTGGACGAAAAATTGGACCACCCGATCCTATCGATGGAGGTTTGCGTTACATTTAATATATGATTATTCCTAAAAGTATTCGGATGTTTATGTTGATGATTTATGTTCCTCCAGTCATTTACATCGAATTTCAGAGACTTTCGATGGTTTTCAAACTTGGATATTACATATTGTTCGTACTTCTAAAATGACAAGTATTTTCGGGCGTCAAAAGCGATGCATTGCCTTTGTTGTGACCGGAAATGGTAAAGGTTTAGCTGGATTCTCATCAGCGACGACAACTGAACATAAATCAGCCCTTTCAACGTCTAAAAACAAGGCTGGACAGAGATTAATGTATATTGAAAGATACAACGACCACACTGGTAAACAATTTTTTCTTTATTTTCAAAATAAGTCGTTATTTTAATCTAAAAGATTAAATCTCTTTACTTCAGTACTTCATAATTTTTACACGCAATTTGGTCGTACAAAAATATTTGTTAGACAAATGCCTCAAGGGTATGGGCTCGTATGTCATCGCATTATTAAGACATGTTGCGAGGCAATTGGCATAAAAAATCTGTATGCCAAAGTTGAGGGGTCGAGAAATCCTCAGAATATAATAAAAGCTTTCTTCATTGGTTTGTTAAAACAGGTATATTCTTCTTTAATGATCGTGTACGTTAGTATCTGCAACTATGAAATAGACGGAAAACCAATGGTTTTCCTTATTTACATATAAATTTTTTTTGTTATTAGTGCAATTTTTAACTATTTTCTTATGATGTTCTTAGAAAACGTATCAACAATTAGCAGACGAGAAAAAGTTACATTTAGTTGAAATGAAGAAGGAGCACAATTATTTCCCCACGGTGATTGCTTCGCCGGAAACGGTGAGGAAGCCGAATGAGATTGAACATAACGAAATTTTAGATTTCAATCAGTATGTAATGGACGGAAGGGTCGTCTTAAAAAAGAAAAAATCTCAACCTTTTTACACAAAGTTACCTTCGTATGCAGTTCATTTGCGTAAGATAGAACGTCAAAGGGATCATTACAATGTTAGAGTTAAATTAACAGCCGAATATGGAGAAATTCGTAGTTTTCTTACTGAAAAATATCCAGAAGCGAAACATTGCCGAAAAGTTAAAAAAGAAGAAGATGATGCCTAAATTCTACCACTCTGTGGATTAACAGCACCGAATTTGTTCTTTTAAATAAACAACAAGAACTAGAGGTTCAAATTGTTTGTACATACAATTACCCATTGTTAATGAAATGGAAATACCAATGTTTAAAGTTGAAGAAAATTGTCATTTATTTTTACTTTTGCTTCATTACAAAAACGTTTATGAAATTTCTATCAATTATTTTAATCAGGTACAAATAATAAATATTATATTAGATCGAAGAATACACAAAATACTAAACAAAATAAAATGTAGCCCTTATATTCTTTTCAAGGGAATGTAAGATATTTAAGATTTCTTATGTTCTTCGTACAAGTCGCTTCTATCTAGCAATTTGTTGAGTTCCTCGTTCGTGAAAACTATAAATTAGAAATGATCATCAGTATCGTATGTAAGACCATTTACGTCTAAATTATATTCACCTTCATTTTCAGCTTTAACTACTTCACATTCTCTTGATTCCAACAATCTCTTTAATTCCAGTAACGATTCTTTATTATGCATATTGATAGGATCGTTCTTTTTAGAGATTACAACTTTTTCTAAAAAGCGTTTCTTTTCACCGCGACTAATAATTGTTTCGTCGATCGTCCCTTTCGTGCAGAATTTATATACAACCACAGGACGGTTCTGTCCTATTCTGTGACAACGAGCCATGGCTTGTATATCTACTTGTGGATTCTGTAAATATACTTACTTTTTATTATCGAGTAATAATTATAAAACCGTAATTATAGAAAGAACGTTACCCAATCGGAGTCATATATAATAACAGTATCCGCTGCAGCGAGATTCAATCCAATGCCTCCCGCTCTTGTAGATATAAGAAACAAAAATAAATCAGGATTTGTATTGAAATCTTGAATACTGTCTTTTCTCTCTGCGAGCGGAGTACTTCCGTCCAATCTGACGTAATTATAATCCCGCAACGACAGATAATCTTCTATTACATCCAATATCATTGTCATGGTAGAAAATAACAAAACTTTGTGTCCCCGTTCTTTAAGTTTTGCAAGCATCGCGTCCAACACTAAAAGTTTCCCAGACGACGCAATCAACTCGTTATCCACTTTTGGCAGACCAGACGCGTCCAACGGGCAATGAACTAAATACGGGTGATTTACAATTTTCTTGTACATTATTACTGTAATAGAAAAAACAACAAGAATATCAATGTAATAACGAAATATCGTAAAAATTAATATTCTCAATAACAATAACTTACTTTTACTGATAGGTGTAACGTTGATTATAAAATTTAGATTCCTATCTAGAACATCGGTAAACATTTTTTGCGGAGACGTTTTAGAAACTGCACTCTCGTCGTATTTTTTAAGCAAATTATCTTCAGAGTGGTTTTTACCAAAGTACCCATTAAAATCAATTTTTTTAGTACATTTCCTTTTCGGTCTTTTACCGTCTTCCGTGTCTATAATTAGTTTCTCGTCCATCAAACTCAATTTCTGTATATCCCGATTTAAAACCGCCTTGTACAAATCGTGTTGGAGTTGCGTGAGCGGAGCGTAGACGATCAATTCCTTCTTTGGCGGGACTTCTAAACAGACGTCCGCTTTTTCGCGTCTCAACATAAACGGTTGAAGTATCTCGCGCAATGACGATAACACGTGCTTCTCCTCTTCTTGTTTTAAAAACTTTTTAGTTCCTTCGTCGTACTCGAGCTCTTTCGCGTTGAACCACGATTTAAATACAGCTAAATCGTCAAAAATTTCCGGCAGTAAGAAATTTAAAAGCGACCACAATTCTGACAAATTGTTCTGTAACGGTGTGCCAGTTAATAAAAGCCGATTCATGGATTTGCACGTCTTCAAAATCCTGAATAAAACAATTAAACTAAATTATAGTACGGTACAGTCGAAATCCGGGAGTTTTTTAAATTCTAAATCTTAACAAACGTACGTGACGAGCATACAGTTGGGGTTTTTGATTCTGTGCCCTTCATCGATTACTATATATCGCCAATGCTGAGATCTAATAAACTGTTTCTCGGTTAACGGTACCTCGAAGGTAGTAAGCACGATTGGCAGAGTACTGTAATGATTCGAGACCCTGTGCATTTGTTTAATTTCTTTTACCGCCGAGTATCTTTCTTCCGGTGTACCGTGCAATAAAATGATGGGCAATTTCGGTGCAAATCTTTCGAATTCGATCAACCAATTTGGTACAGTGGAGAGTGGTGCAATTATTAAATAAGGCCCGGCTTGTCTTTTTTCAATCAGATGAGCAAACAAGGCTATCAGTTGTACTGTTTTTCCAAGTCCCATTTCGTCCGCTAGAATACCATTTATACCATTCTCGTAAAGTACTTTCAGCCATTGGAACCCGTCGATCTGATAGTCTCGTAAGATCCCATTGAAATATTTCGGTATTTCTATATCGATGTCATTAGCTTTGCTATTTTGGTTCTCGGAGTCTGTAATTATTTTGTCTTGAACATCTTTGTCGTCCGCTATCATATTTACAGACTTTAGCTTGTCTTGCACCTACAAAATCGATGAGAATTAGAAATGTCACGCTATATAAAAGGTATATCGGTATACTTACGTCTTTCGATATATGACTCTGTTTACTGTAGCTCTTCTTTTCCCCTTTTGCCAGAGGTAAAGGGCTTTTGGTGGAAATCGCTTTTTTTTTATTAATCCTATTAATTTTATTACCATCATCCTCTGAATCGCCACTAATTTTCTTAACAAGGTACGACGCATAAAATTTGCTTCTGTTCAATAAATGCATCAATCGCTTGTATTGCAGTTCTTGCATTTGACGATTATAGTTCTCTTCTTCTAATCGCTTGACTTCGGTCTCGGCTTGTCGTTTTCTCTTTTTCACTTCCTTCACATCTTCTTTCAAGGGCTCGTTATTAATTCTTACATAATCTATAATACTATTTTTTGACTCGCCTCTTTCTACCCAAAGAGAATTAAACAAAAACATGAAAATAAATATTTACCGCGTCCTTGTAAATTATTAGTATAGAAATGTATTTATTTATTTCTGTTCATTTAAAGCACAACGAATTTCGAGTGATTATGAATTTAACATATAACATTTATCTTACTATAATACGAGTGCTACAATTTACTATTCGCTTGAAAGCCGTCTTATTAAATTCAAAAAATTAACCACAAGGGATTAAACAATGTTTATAACCAATACTACAATATAAACACTCCATTGCAGAAAATTTAAAATTGAACGTAAAACAAAAAGGGAACGTACCTTTGATTGAACCCAAACTACTGGTCATATGATTAATATTGACATCTTCATTCTCTTTGTCCATCTTCGACTTAAAACAATTCTATTACACTTGACCAATAAATAATAAATTAAAATAGGAGAACAATGCGTACTTGTACGTTAGCGAAACACGAGGTCTACGTAACAACGCAACCTTCTCCGGTGAACAAATCCCGCCAAATGTGCGCACGTCGACGATCGGGGAACCGTTATTAGTTAAATACATCTACGTATAGAGGGCCCAGTATCAAAGTTACGCGCGCTTTCTGCTAAGGCACGAATAAAGTATAAGTTAGATCCAACATCTCATGGAAATTTGCATTACACGATGTCTCGACTCGCGAATCGAATATTCGATCCATTAATTATTATCAGCTTCCGAAGAATGCAGAAGTACAACATGATAAAACACATTGAAAGTAAAACCATGTGTCTCGCAACAGAAGTTCTCTGTGGCCCACTCGCTGACCAGGGATTTATTAACCCCTTAACCTACAACTACGTGTGAGACACGTAGTCTTCTATTCGGGCCAAAACTGATTACCACGGGCCTGGTTCGTAGTACATCGGTTGGGCCAAATGTAAATACTACGGGTATAGCTCGTGGTACAACGATCGCAGTTTGTAATTTGCCTCGCCACGAACAGCACAGACCAGGCTTGTGATACGCACGTTCGCACTTTGAAATATATTTTCTTAAATATTAGAAAAGTATCCCTACAAGATGTACGCGTTTAGTACAACTTAGGACCGATTTGCCGAGCCGTAAAATGGCTCGAAGTCTGCGCGATCTTGTTTACATTTTGGGCCCAAGCTGTTGAAACATAAATCGTAGGTTAAGGGGTTAAAAAGGAGTTCTTGTTACACCGAGCTTTACGTATCTCCGTAAAACAAGATCAAGTGGCGTTAAGTCTAGTGATTACGGTGGCCATAAAATCAGACATGCCAGAAATGCATCGAAGGCACTTTCTCACACTATGCCAAATCAGGCATACGTGAGCTTCTCGTGCAATTTCTCGATTCTCCGAAGCTACGCGAAGAAATTTCGGACCGTCTCGTGGGAGTCGAGAGAGAAAGGCTCACATTTGCCTTCTCGCTCTTGACAAACGAAATCCGACTTCTCGTCAATAGGCCTCCTCTGGCCTCTGCTGGCCCCTGCTGACCGCCAGAGGTGCCAGAAAAGCACCGACGGTGCCCTACTCACGCATGCCAGATCACGCGTACGTGAGCTCGTGAAGTTTCGGAGAGTCGCCAAAGGCAAACTGACACATGCCCCCTCTCTCGATTCTCGAGGCTCATTTGCTTTCTCGCACTTGAACAACTAACATTCGACCTCACGTCGACGACATACGATTCCAAGTCTCGACTGCCCAGCCACTGTTGGCCTCTCCTGACCTCCGCTTATATTTCTGACGACGTATAACGATTACTACTGAATTCTGCCTGCCTCCGCCGGCCATTCCTGACCGCTGCTGACCATTCCTCATACTTCTGACAACGTATGACGATTACAACTTGCTATTAGTTGCCCCTGCTGGTCTCTGCTTGCCACTGCTTGCTACTGCTGGCCTCCACTTGCCTCCGCTGACCACTGCTGACCACCACTGATGCTTCCGACAACTTATAACTATTACTACTTGTTACTGCTTGCCCCTGCTGGTCTCTGCTTGCCCCTGCAGACCTCTGCTGCCCCCTGCAGGCCTCTGTTGTCCCCTGCTGACCACTGCCGACCACTGCTGACCACTCCTGGTACTTCGTGCAACGTGTAACGATTACGACTGGCTACTGCTTGCCTCTCCCTGCCTCTGCTGGCCTCTGCTGACCACCGCTTATATTTCTGACAACGCACAACGATTACCAATGACTTCTGCCAACCTTCGCTGGACTCTGCTGACCGCTGCTGACCTTTCCTGGTGTTTCTGACAACGTATAACGATTACGACTGGCTACTGCTTGCCACTGCTGGACTCTGCTGTTCACGGCTAGCCTCCGCTGGCCTCTGCTGACCACCCCTGATGCTTCTGACAACGTATAACTATTACTACGTGCCCCTGCTGGTCTCTACAAGCCTCTACATGCCTCCACATGCATCTACTGGTCCCTGCTGACCCCGGCTGACCACTGCTGACCACCCCTGACCACCCCTGATGCTTCTGACAACGTATAACTATTACTACTTGCTCCTGCTGGTCTCTACAAGCCTCTACATGCCTCTACATCCCTCTACATGCCTCCACATGCATCTACTGGCCCCTGCTGACCCCGGCTGACCACTGCTGACCACCCCTGACCACCCCTGATGCTTCTGACAACGTATAACTATTACTACTTGCTCCTGCTGGTCTCTACAAGCCTCTACATGCCTCTACATCCCTCTACATGCCTCCACATGCATCTACTGGCCCCCGCTGACCCCGGCTGACCACTGCTGACCACCCCTGACCACCCCTGATGCTTCTGACAACGTACAACTATTACTACTTGCTCCTGCTGGTCTCTACGAGCCTCTACATGCCTCTACATCCCTCTACATGCATCTACTGGCCCCTGCTGACTCCGGCTGACCACTGCTGACCACCCCTGACCACCCCTGATGCTTCTGACAACGTATAACTATTACTACTTGCTCCTGCTGGTCTCTACAAGCCTCTGCATGCCTCTACATCCCTCTACATGCCTCCACATGCATCTACTGGCCCCTGCTGACCCCGGCTGACCACTGCTGACCACCCCTGACCACCCCTGATGCTTCTGACAACGTACAACTATTACTACTTGCTCCTGCTGGTCTCTACAAGCCTCTACATGCCTCTACATCCCTCTACATGCCTCCACATGCATCTACTGGCCCCTGCTGACCCCGGCTGACCACTGCTGACCACCCCTGACCACCCCTGATGCTTCTGACAACGTATAACTATTACTACTTGCTCCTGCTGGTCTCTACAAGCCTCTACATGCCTCTACATCCCTCTACATGCCTCCACATGCATCTACTGGCCCCCGCTGACCCCGGCTGACCACTGCTGACCACCCCTGACCACCCCTGATGCTTCTGACAACGTACAACTATTACTACTTGCTCCTGCTGGTCTCTACAAGCCTCTACATGCCTCTACATCCCTCTACATGCCTCCACATGCATCTACTGGCCCCTGCTGACCCCGGCTGACCACTGCTGACCACCCCTGACCACCCCTGATGCTTCTGACAACGTACAACTATTACTACTTGCTCCTGCTGGTCTCTACGAGCCTCTACATGCCTCTACATCCCTCTACATGCCTCCACATGCATCTACTGGCCCCTGCTGACTCCGGCTGACCACTGCTGACCACCCCTGACCACCCCTGATGCTTCTGACAACGTATAACTATTACTACTTGCTCCTGCTGGTCTCTACAAGCCTCTACATGCCTCTACATCCCTCCACATGCCTCCACATGCATCTACTGGCTCCTGCTGACCCTGGCTGACCACTGCTGACCACCCCTGACCACCCCTGACCACCCCTGATACTTCTGATATGATGTATATGTATTAAACCTTGTATAATGTAAATCTATGGCAATAAATGATATAATTTAACAGAATTCTATGTGTTCTCTTCATTTTTACCTTTCCTTTCCTCTCCAAATCATTGCCTTAGTTTTAAGAGACCGTTTTTCAAGTTAGAATTGGATTTCCGAAGTGTCCAGCTCTCGTACTTGCCGCCGAAATCAAAAATTAACTTTTCAAAAAGTCCTGAAACAATTGGAATGTCCTGAAACAATTGGAAAGGCCTGAAACAGCTGGAAAGCCCTGAAATAGTTGGAAAGCCCTGAAACAGCTGGAAACCCTGAAACGACTTTTAATTTTGGAAATCCCGAAAAATCGGAAAGTCCTGAAACAGCTAGAAAGTCCTGAAACAGCTGGAAACCCTGAAACGACTTTTAATTTTGGAACACCGAAAAATTGAAAAGTCCTGAAACAATTGGAAAGTTCTGAAACAGCTGGAAACCCTGAAACGACTTTTAATTTTGGAAATCCGAAAAATTGAAAAGTCCTGAAACAATTGGAAAGTCCTGAAACAGCTGGAAAGGCCTGAAACAGCTGGAAAGCCCTGAAACAGCTGGGAAGTCTTGGAATTTCTTGAAAATTTCTTGGAAACGCCGAAAATTCTTGGAAACTCTGAATTTTTAGCAAAGTTCTGATTTTCAGGACTTCCGAGGTGTTTTAGGACTTCCTAGTGGGTTCAGGGAAGCCAAGGAGTTTCAGGGAGTCTTATAAGTAAGAGGAAAGGAAAGAAATGTAAAAGATGATGAGAACACATAGTATTCTTTGTAATTATATCATTTATTGCCATAGAATACATTATACAATGTTTTAATACATATATATCATGGCAGAAGTTGTTAACAAGGGACAGCAGTGGTCAGCAGTGGTCAGCGGGGGTCAGCGGGGGTCATAAGGGGTCAGCAGGGGACAGCAGAGGCTTGCAGAGGCAAGCAGAGACCAGCAGGGGCAAGGAGTAACATGTAGTAATCGTCACACGTTGTCGGAAGCATCGGTGGTGGTCAGCAGTGGTCAGCAGAGACCAGCGGAGGCCAGCGGAGGCCAGCAGTGGCAAGGAGTGGCAAGCAGAGACCAGCAGGGGCAAGCAGTGACATGTAGTAATCGTCACACGTTGTCGGAAGCATCGGTGGTGGTCAGCAGTGGTCAGCAGAGACCAGCGGAGGCCAGCGGAGGCCAGCAGTGGCAAGGAGTGGCAAGCAGAGACCAGCAGGGGCAAGGAGTAACATGTAGTAATCGTCACACGTTGTCGGAAGCATCGGTGGTGGTCAGCAGTGGTCAGCAGAGACCAGCGGAGGCCAGCGGAGGCCAGCAGTGGCAAGGAGTGGCAAGCAGAGACCAGCAGGGGCAAGGAGTGACATGTAGTAATCGTCACACGTTGTCGGAAGCATCGGTGGTGGTCAGCAGTGGTCAGCAGAGACCAGCGGAGGCCAGTGGAGGCCAGCAGTGGCAAGGAGTGGCAAGCAGAGACCAGCAGGGGCAAGCAGTGACATGTAGTAATCGTCACACGTTGTCGGAAGCATCGGTGGTGGTCAGCAGTGGTCAACAGAGACCAGCGGAGGCCAGCAGTGGCCAGCAGTGGCAAGGAGTGGCAAGCAGAGACCAGCAGGGGCAAGGAGTAACATGTAGTAATCGTCACACGTTGTCGGAAGCATCGGTGGTGGTCAGCAGTGGTCAACAGAGACCAGCGGAGGCCAGCAGTGGCAAGGAGTGGCAAGCAGAGACCAGCAGGGGCAAGGAGTGACATGTAGTAATCGTCACACGTTGTCGGAAGCATCGGTGGTGGTCAGCAGTGGTCAGCAGAGACCAGCGGAGGCCAGTGGAGGCCAGCAGTGGCAAGGAGTGGCAAGCAGAGACTATCAGGGGCAAGCAGGAACAAGTTATAATCGTTATACGTTGTCAGAAGTATCAGGAGTGGTCAGCAGCGACCAGCAGAGGCCAGCGGAGGCAGGCAAAGGGCAGTAGTATTCGTTATACGTTGTCAGAAATATAAGCGGTGGTCAGCAGAAGCCAGCAGAGGCCAGTAGAGGCTGGCAGAGGCTGGCAGTAGCTCGTAGTAATCGTTATATGTTGTTGGAAGCATCAGCAGTGGTCAGCAGAGGCCAGCGGAGGCCAACGAAAGCCAGCAGAGTCTTGCGTAGACCAGCAATGGCAAGCAGTGGCCAGCAGAGGCAAGCAGGAACAAGTTATAATCGTTATACGTTGTTGGAAGCATCAGCAGAGGCCAGCGGAGGCCAACGAAGGCCAGCAGAGTCTTCCGTAGACCAGCAATGGCAAGCAGAGGCCAGCAGAGGCAAGCAGGAACAAGTTATAATCGTTATACGTTGTCGGAAGTATCAGCAGTGGTCAGCCGAGGCCAGCAGGGGGCAGCAGAGGTCGGCAGAAGCAGACACAGACCTGCACATGCTGGCAGAGGTCAGCAAAGGCCAGCAGAAGCCAGCAGAGGCTTGGAGAGGCTGGCAGTAACGAGGGGTGATCGTTATACGTTGACAGATATATTACAAGTGACATGTGAAATGATATACATATGTTCGATCATACATAGGAATAATAAAAATAAATTTCTTTCCTTGTCAGTAATCAAACTATGATCAAGGGGTACTAAAACGTGTATTTCCGTAAAACAAATTTCACAAGATTTCGTTTTCATTATGGGAACTTTGCTTCTGTGCGTGTAGATACATAGGTCGGAACGTGGAAATGTATTTTCAAAGTATTAGACAAATTTTCTGTAGGGCGTCAAACAATATTACGAGAAATCAAAAACGAATTTTTGAGGAAAATCGACAGGGGTTAGTTAGGTGCTTAAATTTTGTCGGCGAAATGGAAAAGTTTCTAATCTCTTTGGAAAAATTATTTTCGATCGCGGGGATCAATTGCAATCATTTTTGGTGAATACACATGCCTCCGAAATCCTATGTACTTTCGAGACAAAAATTCTTTACCGTTTTAGAACCCCATAAAAATGGACCGAACAAAATACATTGGACGTAAAGTCTACTCGGATATACCTCGTCCGTGCTTGTACGTTCCAACGTGCAAAAATTTACTATAATGATAATAAAGAGGAAACAAAGGCATGCATGTGAATCCATAAAAGAAACTGATGGATGCAAAGTGATTGAAATAATTGTGATACAAATGAATGTTACTTCCTCCTCTGATCGTCCGTTCTCTTTCGCCACCGGTATTCGAAATCCATCTAGCGTGGACGAAACGAACTATTCGACGACAAACTTAGGCGTTTTCCAAATCATGCTTTATGTATTATGCTTGATGTGCGTGATACCGTGCTCTTACCAAAGAAACGTAGAGACTAGGAATATGTGATGCAGTGTCAAGGACGGATTACCGGTGTCTTCAGGAATAATTAGACAGCGTTTATTAATTAGAGTAACGTACATATAGTCTCAAATTAATGTGTATTATGCTTGACGCGATGTGAAACAATGTACTTGTCGAAAGAAGCATGAAAACTACAAACATGTCTTTCTCTGTAAGCCTAAGATCTCTATTCGTTTAATAAATACAATGCAATATATTCCCCCGATGTCTAATTATTTGAACCCACAAAACAGCTAAGGGATCTTAGTGACTCTTTCTAGCAACAAGTTATTAAAATAGGGATAACAAACATTCTGGGTGTACAATTTTATTTTAGTTCTGGGGAGGACGTATATATATATTTAGATATACAGTGAATTACATAGTTATTATAATATTAATAAGGTGTAGACACTGTGCGCCTACGTAGGAAAGTAAAAATGCCTGGGCAGTCGAGAATCTCGACTCGAGATTCCAAATCGTATGCTTGTTGATGGGAGGTCGAATTTCAGTTGTCAAGAGCGAGAAGAAAAATGTAAGCCTTTCTCTCTCGACTCCCACGAGGCGGTCCGAAATTACTTCGGGTAGCTTCGGAGCACACGATACTGAATCTGGCATCTCTTCATAAAATTGAACCTCATTGTCAATGAAACATGCAACTACCATCGTAAGTTCTTTACAGCAATCAAACAAGTTTGAATAAAATTGTCAACCCCACGGATGACATCTGTATTGGACCGACTCTAAATGGAATCCGATTACAGCATTACCAGCGATAGGAATTAAAACGAAATACGCATAATGAGATTTACATGAAGCTATGTTACCACTCGAAGATATACGCGCGAATACTGATCAAAGCGATAGGCATGGCGTCGAGACGGATCCGGCGATCGGGAGCCTAGTACGGCTTCGTTTTAAGATAAAAGAAATGAACGGATCTTGATTGATTCCGCGAGGAAATCGTTTGGAAACGACATTCGATCAACAAGAGACTCGTTAGCCCCGGTTTGCATGACCGAATTCGATACACGTGACAACGTACGAAGTAAGCAATATCTTATCGCCGATAGTTTTTTCTTATCGTCCCTTCGATCGATGTTCGAGAAATCAAAACCAAATATAATATGGCCGATCCGACGATACAAACGTTTTGTTGTCATCACTCGAACAGTACGGACATGGCGATTGTGATTATGCAGGAGTTCAATACAAATGCATACAACACAGTGTGCATGCTCTCCTCAGCTATAGGTATGCTAGGTGCAATTTATCAGGTAAGTAAAATCTCATTATATCGAGCTACGCTGCAACAACAACAAACACAAGGAATTCTGTTTCAGATACTGCCAAGAGAAGCGTCTAGTCTACCTCACAGGTGGCAAAGCTTTTCCTCGTCCAGAGGGAGGGAGATTATAATATGGCTCGCAACAGCCGACCTCTTAGCTTCCTTAGGTGATTCTTCCTCAACCACTTTGTACATTCAAAGCAGTTTATCTGTAATTTCTATATGTTTTAGGTGTATTTATGAGATCTGCTCTTTGGATGAATTTCAAATCTATAATGCCAATGGAAGATGATACTTCGAGCGTCGTCTTCTGTGCACTTTCATCTGTAAATTAGATTCAAAAATCAGTTGCAATTACTTCATCTATTGTCTGCCATGTTCACAGATTCTTAACGTGTCTTTCAGGCCTGGACACAGTATTTTTATATGGCAACATGGATATGGACTCTGTGCTATGCTATAGACATGAAACTGTTGCTCGGAGATCGACCTGGACACCCTACCTGTTACCATGCTTTTGCGTGGATATGTCCAGCAATTCTGACAACATTTGGCTTGGCAATCTTGTACATACCAAACGCAAAGTTAGTATCTTTAATTTGACAATGATATTACCATCGGTTCGAAATTGTACAAATTAAATCTAACTTATTTTCAGCTGCCACAATTTAACGTCTTTGTCCACAGCCATACTGCGCATTCTCCCGAATTATTGCGCTACTTACGTACTATTAACGGCGGTAATGATCATCAATCCAATATTGTATTTCGCGTCGACGCGCGATCTTCAAACTGCCGTCAGTTGCAGTTTGGCGCAAATCACGGGCAGAGAAAGAAAACTGGTACAAACTATAAAAGTGAAATTCGCGTTGACCAACGTTGCGTATTACGTGTGTTGGCTGCCGAATTTAATCAACGGAATACTATTATGGACTCTATGGTTTCAATTACCGATCAAAGCCATTATTACACTGTGGTACATAATGGTATGTAAATCTCACGGTATTATAAATGACAAATTTGATGCGTATATTATTCATAATTTTATTAACAGGCTGTTACGAATCCCCTGCAAGCGTTCTTCAACGCGCTGGTGTACAAAAGATGGGGCAAAGCGGAGAAATTCCGACTCGAATGTTGCCAGAAATTAGGCAGCTTCAATATAAGAAAAATTGCGACAGGTAACACGGGCATACGACTAACCGAATCATCGCCATTGTTAAATCCTAAATACGGATGCCCGCCACATACGAGTATAAATGGATCTTCTTCGTTTTGAAGTCTGTGATATGAAACACATTCGTCATATTGATGCTACCGTTACGAATTTATCAACGTATGTGCCTTTCACTGCCTTGTACAATTTTTTAACGTAAGGTACGTTTATTGTAATATGCTCAATGATTCGTTTCGATATGACGAGAACAACGTTAAAAATTAATATTTATATAGATAGGCATTGGATGTACACCATCGATCATAAGCATTAAATCGATTATCTAAATACTTGCGATCGATAGTCTACACGAATATATATATATAGAGTAATCGATTTTTTAAATATTTTATGAACCGTGGCGCATTAGTTGTTACTAATGTTTGCATCCCGAAACAGATTAATACGCCGTAAAGAGCTTTACGCAAAAAGTATTCGTTGTTCCAACACGAGGTGCTTTTCCCTTTAAGCATGTTAATTGTTATAAATACAAGAGATTTTATTTTGTACATATATAAGAACACATACACAGTACTATTATTTAGTCGATGTAACCTTTTTTCTGTACATCTAATGTTTCTTACGCTGCGATTTTACAATTAATTAATCACAAATGTTCAACACAAAACGGTAAAAATTTACGTCAGTTTATGGAATACAAAATGGAATTGGATGTTTCGTATCGACAATGTGACAATTCTGCGATCGACCTGTATCGCTATGATTATTAAGAGGCAGCTCGAAAAATATTTATATCCCGGTTAATAGTACATGTAGAATCTTCGAACAGATATCTCGATATATTCTGATCAACAAATTACTTTTATTCGTACAAGATTCCCTCGTAATAAAAAATTTATGTACATCGCTGTTAACAAACAATTCGCATTTTTAACCGACTTTGCGTACATTTTGTAAGGGGCGCGAAGACTATTTCATTTTTCTGGACAGCGAATCTTTCTATGTTAGCACCAAAAGATATATTTAAATACGAAGACTGTACAAATATAATCCATACTTCTTACTTGTTACAAGTTAAACTTGAATGCAAAGTACAAGAAACATGTACAGTGTGTGTAAAACATTTAACGCAAACAGATCAATTAAAATACTGTATAACTTGCTAGTACAAGTTCTTTCGCATTTACGCAAGAAGGAACCAGCGTGCACCATTGAACTTCATCGACTAACGCTTTTAACATTAATATATGGAACTACATGTACACATTATTACCTAAATCGTACTCTCAGCGCACTACGATCATTCGTCTCGTTTTAAAAATAGATTCGATTTTAATAAAATAATCTTTACGTAAAGCTAAATTGTTTTACCTAACAGTACATACGATTTTAATCTAACTATATACGACTGATTGTATATAAAGATTCTTTTACTATATACTTACGAAATGGATATTCGTTCCGTATAGTAAATTACAATAAACACTGCCAAGTGGAACGTACGATGTAAGATTATTGCAGACGATTTGTGCAAAATGAACAGAACGTTATCGCGTAATTTAAATTACGAATATATACGGTTTCGTCGGAAGCTCGATCGTTTCTAATACAGCTAAAGTGCACTTCGTTTTGTTAACGTTCGAAACGCATGTGTACTGCATTCTAATCACGTTCCATTGCGATATGTCGTAAACCCTTTTACTCGTCACACGTAAAATATATATATATATTTCCAAGTCTTATTTTTTGTCTGTTAAGAAACGTTTTCCTCAAAAATTGTTACAGAAGGCAAAGCGTAAAACTTATTGAACTATACAAGTACTTGGCAGTTGAGCTATCAGAAAAGTAACACAGCATACTGAATACGAAGCAATATGTTCTACATATCTTAATATCATCACCGTAAACAGAAAAAAAAAAAAAACAAACTACAATCGTATCTTACAACAGAGACAAATCTATTAATAATCTCACGAATTTAACAAAAACTTAAAATTACTGTTTTTGTTTATACAGTTCGTCATTATGCCTTTAATGAGCAAAAAAAAAAAAAAACACTTTATATTTATTATCAGGCAGCCAACGAAGAAAAACTGAATAATACCGGAGTAACGATCTTGCAATGAAAAATCAATATTTAGGAAACGTCCGTTTCGATTGTAGGAAATTTATACATTCTTGCTTATTAATTCTACGTTGATCACAATTGTAATCTTATAATAGACTCAACTTTAAATGCGTGGTTCGGTCGCACGTTGTAAAAAGAGACGCGAAAAATATTCGTAATAAAAGTACGATAATTTACGTGTAGGTATAGGCGTGAGCTTATCCCGATTATCAAATTTCGTTCTTAAATGTAATAAAATATTTCGTTTCGTTCTTATTTGATTTGGCACTTTGGCAAAATATGTGATATCGGTCCGTAAAAAAAATTATATTAAAAAAAAAAAAAATATTTACCTTTAAGCATTTAAAGTGCGAAGTATATTATACATAGAAAGAAAATCGATGTCATCGTACGCGGAGTCTGCCATCAGGATGAAAAATTCGAAGCTCCTAAAGTCAAAGTGGTGATTTCGCGGATGATCATCTCGGCGATCTTCCACGCCAGTTCTTCTTTAGCCTAAGTATACCGATACGTTATGATTTGAAACTATGTCGACTAAAAATATTCAATAAAATTGTGAATTTGTCTATACTCGTGCAAAATATATTGTCTCTACAAAAGGCATCGATACGTAAACACTTCAAACAAGCGTGACACAAAACTCACCTTATCTTGCTCCATATTTATAAGCCTTTTCACGACACGCGTTAATCGAGACTCTAAAATTATTTTACATACAATTATTTCGATTCCATTGTAATATTCTAGAAGCGTGTCTTGAACGACTTACCAGATTTTCTCTGAGGATCTGGTTCTATCTCAGTAACGAATCTGCCTAAATTGTCGATATAACCAACGCTCAAACTGAAAAGAAATGTGCATTGAAATAATTTACAGTAGAAAACACTTTTAATTAAACAATTACCTATATTTATTACGTCTCCATAAGGAATCCGGATCGTAAAGTTGTCTAGTATCAATGTCCATACCACCGCTGATATTAGTTTTATTATTGACCGATCTATGTCCTTCGCTCCCTGCCTGCAGGGTACTTTGCATATTAATACTAACGGAACTCACCTCGCTGCTACAGTCGGAACCTAAATTATTCAGAGAACTCGTGTCAGATCATTTTATTCATATAATAATCGTGACTAATAATGAAAAACGTACAAAAACTAATATACAAACCTGCTCTTTTTATCCTTGGATGTAAACCTGAACATGGACTGCTTTGTATAGTATTGATCAACTCAGATAAGTATTTGTAATATAACTGTGACGATAAGAAGGTAGGTAGATAATGCTGGAAAAAATAATAATGTAATCTGAACACGGTGATGTTAAGTTTTATCACTGTTGGTCTTTGATATCAATTGCAAAGATATACTAATATCTTCCGTAGCATGCGAGTGTCGTTTTACCTTATTCAAGAAATTGTATACAATTTTACATGGCTTATCGAAACAGTCCGATCGTGGTCCCTCTCCATCTTCATGACAAATATTTTGTTCCACTTGGAAACGAATTTTATTGCTAAAGCCAAGCGGCATTGTTGCTTGCAAACTAAAATACCTGTGCGAATAACGGACACTAGTAATTGTTTTTGAAAGGAATAAAGAAGATACAAATGAAAAATTGGTGAAGAAGAAAATACTTGTCATAAATAATCAGAGCATCGGTTTGCGCTTCCTCGGGATCCGTAGCATCCTTCTTTTCCAACAAGTTTTGTTTGTAATTGATGGCAGACATCCAGAAGTCCAGTAATTCTCGCTTATTTTCGAGTTCCAAAAACTAGAAGACCATAGACTTAATCGCGCGAATTAAGATACTGGTAAGTGTGCAAACAGAATTATTACCTCCATGAAATAAAAGAACGCAGTTTCGTTGTACAATATATCTGTTAACTGTACATTGCCACTGGTAAGAACATCAATTTGATGTTTGCAGTTAAATTCACTTCTTAAAAAGTCGTTAATGTATCTGAAAAAGATCTATATTAGAATTCCTATACTCTTCAGAGGAAGCCAAGTATTTCTAAGCAGCTCTTTTATACTTACTCATTTTCTAATAGTACGTATACTATCGTTTGAACGGATGACAGGCACTGCAACATAGACTGAATGTTTTCACAAGCGAAAGCTTCCTCCATTTCTGCCTTTAAACCTTCAGGGATTTGATTTGTACCCAAAGCATCTTTAGCTATATATTTCTTGTAGATTCTTAAAGCATCCTGCTTAGTGGTTGTCACGTCGCGTCTCTTGCAATTGTGATTTGATTGTCGTATTCTGCTTATCGTTTGACTAGTCTTTGGCATGTCGTTGCAATTTGATTTTGTATTGTTACTATTTACATATTCGTTGGACAACGTATCTTTAGTTTCACGATCGTTCTTAGCATCCTGCATCACCTCGGGATGAAAATGTTCATTGTCCATCGAATCGGACAGTCTATTAGAATTTTCTGTGCAATTCGAAGATTCAACATTCTTTCCATTAACTTCTTGTATATCGATCGAACTGCACAAACATTCCACCTCGAGCCAAAATTTAATAAGCGCTATACTGTTCCGTGTCTCCATAAACTGAATAAAGTAACCGAGAGCACCTTTGTCCGCGAGTATTTGTGGAAGCGTTTTAGAGAGCTGAGAGCTGAACGAACACGTTTCTGTCGTTTCACCGTCGAATGTCTCATTTTCCTCTTCTTTCTCAAGGCTGCACACTGTACCTGTTGATGTTTGGACGGACGAACCGCCATTGAATACATCTCCGAACGATGTCCCAGAACTTGTCGGCTTTGAAGGAGATGTTTGCAAAGATCCGGGCCTGTCTCTTTGCCCTGAAATCACCAAAAAATTATTCTCTATATCCGGTTACGTGATACGTATTATCGAATATTATAAACCGTGAAAATTATTCGATTTTTGATGATTATCAACGAGCGTGTCAACGAGCATGGGAGCTCGAAGCCTTCAAGTGTCAGATGGATAAATATTTTCGTCTTTAGGTTAGATACGTTGCGATCAACAAGGATTCCTCTCTTTCGCGAAATATTAATGGACCACGGAATGAACGAGCGATAAATATTTACCAGTCTTTTTAAAAAATGGAAACATTGTTCACGTCAGAACGAAACATGATAAACGACGCGATGTGGCGTTCGTACGTGGTAATAATGTTTCAAAGGTTGACGCCAGTTTCTTCCTGTGGAAGGCGAAAATTATGCGCGTGTTCCTCGCGGACACGGTAACGAGCACTGAATTAGGAAAACGACACGATGAATTTCCTCGATCGCGCGCACACACGGCACATGACATTTCACCGAATCGTCATTAATGTCATCGCCAACTCTGTTTAAGATCGCTGCCTCAACAGTTGAATAACCATATCTCTGATATTTACAGACGAAATGTGCATAGTAAAAAAAAAAAAAGAGGATCGTAAATCACAACATCGAGGATGTTGATCTTGCATAATCACGATCGTTGCATTGGTGTGATCGTTCGTATGTCAACGATTCGTAGAAAAATAACCGCGTTCGTGAAACACGATTATTCTAAGCGGTTTCGTAATGACAACCAGAGAATGTTTTCACGGCGCATCTCATGGTTGCATGCAGTTATCACGCGAACCGTATTACCACTGAGATATTACTATTTAAGAAACGATCTTAACAAATCTTCGTGTCAGAATTCTTTTAAATACGAACAAAATAATGTAAAACGTTACAGGCAATAACAAGTGCTGATAGAAACTTAAGAATCAATTTTTCGTTCGGTAACGAAAGTATCGATGGTGTTTCTCGTCGTGGAATGTATAAACAAAAGCATTTGCTTCTCTACAATGAAATGTTTTCAAATTGACACGCAGAAGTGTGTCTTCGTGTATTTTTACACACACTTGTCACGCTAGGTACAGTCGCAGTGAAAATCGTACGGTATCGTTGCATATTTTAGGGGGAGGGGACTCATTATCACCTTGCTTTAAAATCTACCGCTACAATGTCAATATGTACTCTGTAAATAAAATTTAGAAATTCTAGAATTCTTTGGTTTCATTAAAACTTCGACTCGAGTTTTATACACTCAAGAACGAACTTAAGAGGTTAAAAAATGGTCAATCTTTAAACTGCTGTAACTTTGTAAAAAAGCATCGTACTAATAATAAAAGATACTTCTTTTTCCAAAGTTTGGTAAGTTCGAACAACTCTAAAGACTCAACCTTAGCGGTTGAACATTTATTATATATTGATTCGAGTCTCGTATCCAAGCTTTCAAAGCTCAGTGTCTAAGCTTCGAAGAGTAAAATCTTATGCAAAGCTAGTGTCTAAAGATAGAGCTCCACGGGCAAAGTGGCTCCCAACGTTCGATGCGTGCTAAATCGTTACCTTCTCACGGTTCATCCGAATTATTCTCGCGTAGGTGAACACGCCAGGTTCTGGGCGTTTTAACATTTAAATCAGAATCGACCGGCGTGATGGGGAAACGTGTGCACGCGTTCTGTATATCGGTATACGCGGGGCCAATGTCCGGGCAGCATGCTCGAGGCTCCTGTGACCGTTTGTCGAGAAAGAATACCGGTTTCCCGGGCGTACTGACCACTATATCAAGGAAGACCCATCGGGTTACGATGCCTCTCACCCGGACCCGCTCATCAGTCCGAGTCCTGTCGACGATCCTCGCGTATTTTTCCAACCTCTCGTCTCCCTCGCAAGGTGCTTGGTACCCGGCCACCATGGTAACGCGTTACGTTCTCCTAATCGTGGTTTATTACACGGCTATTTGCCTGTCATTACCGGCGAGTTACGATCAACGACAGACGGGCGACCTGAACGTCCAGATTCACCTGAAGGACGTGCAAGTCCTGGCGCTGATGGACACGGAATTGCTCGACGATTACACGGTAACGCAACTGACTGATCGTTCGCGGTTTGCACGCTATTGTTAAGTAGATTGATAAGACCTGATAAAGCGATAACGAAGAACTATTATTCTCGTTAACTTATATCTCTGTCATTAGAACGGCTCGCGGGTGGGGCAAAACTTCAAAACAATCGTTAACGCCTACGACCACCCAAACATATAATTAAACAGATATTTTTTATTACAGATATTCAAGGTTTCGCCGTACTAGACACGCTTTATTATTTTTAATAAATTTTATTTATATTTAACAACGCTTTTTTATATTGACACGTATCGCGATTCTGCAGGAGTATGATTACTTCTATGATTACGCCGATTTCACGGTGAAACCGACCGTCAAGCCCACCACCAGTTCCACGGCGTCCGAGTCCACCACTCAGGTGTCCTCCTCGGTAACCGAGGAGGCTGATCCTTCGGGGACGTCCGAATCCGTTCAAAATTCAACTATCGCCGACGAGAACAACGAATTTTTAATTGGAAATTCTACCGTCGACGACGCCATAGTCCCCCCGTCGGCGGACGCTGAGAAATCAAACGACACCGCCGCGGTGTCGTTGACCGAGAAGCCGGAAGACTCGATCAACGAGAACGTCACGGTCAAGGCCAGGGTCAACGACAAAACCAGAAACACGTTCGAGGACGATGAAGATCCTGCGGAACAGAACCCCGGAGGATCGTCCACCGACAACCCGACGAAGAAACTAACCAAAAGACGTTGCAAGTCTGGATACTCGCCGGATGGAAAGGGTCGTTGTCGTCGATCGAGTCATCGTCGACTGTCGTTCATACCGTGAGTATTAGTTTTAGAATATCTCAACCTAACCTTACACCCAAGAGAAGGCACCAAATTAGAATCTGACCTAACTTTATAATCATTGTTAATTGCAAGAGTTGTGGAAGCTCAAACTATGTCATTGCATGCAGTTTATGAAAAGTATTCTGGTTCTTTCTTTTGCAGTCTGGCGATGAGACTAGCGCCGAAACTGTTGGACGACCTGGCGCGCAACGCGAAGAATCTGGCGCAGGAAGAAGTTCATTGGATGCACTCGTACTGAAACGTGCCATGAATGTTATTCGCGAACGACTACACGGAATCGTATGCACTAGTATAAGACGAATATCCGTCCTTCGTTAACTTAGGTCGAGTTACGTATGCGCGCGCCGTTTCGTTGCTTCATCCTGCATTTCTATTGTACCGTACTCTCGCGTTCGATCTCATACGAAGTAATTATTATTGTACATAATATATAAGGAACGGCGAACTTACAAGAGTAACAATAAAGTTTATAAGTTGCATTGTTTACCCGATCTGTCGTGTCTCTTTAAACACCTGGATTATTTTTTTTTTTCGTTAGTCTTTTAAGTTAAAGTTTCACGCAGAAACGAATGTTCAGAAGTAGTCAGCAGCTGTGTAATCAGCGCCAGAACAACGAATGCTGAAGTACATCTATTTTTGCCAGAGCAATTAAAATGGTACGTGGAAGAATTTCTAATTAATATAATTCTAATTAACTTTGAAAATGCTCGTTAAAACGACCACCTATACAATGATATCGAAGCAATCAAAATCGTCGTAACAAGAGTTCTCTATCGACGCTGAAGGAATTTTATAACATTTCGAATAAAAAAGAAGATTTTACACGATTTCGATCATCGATTACATTTCATATACCGCGAGATCGGCTCGAGTGCTATAGAAAGTAAACAGATCTCTAAAGATAAGGAAACACGTACCACTTTTACGCTCGTTAAGTTCAAGATCTTGAGTGTATACCACTACTCAGTGTTTTATCGATTAGAGCGAAGAAGAGAAACGGTTACCCTAACGCTTCAGATAAAATGATAGAGACAAGAGATATTTGCTCGGGCATTTATGGTCGTAGGATTCATTAAAAAGCACGCGTTTCCCGCGTATGGTCCCTCTATGCGCGGATCGATCTCGATCCGAGTGAACGAGCGAACCTGAAAGGTCCCACGGATCTAGACGATTGTGCTTTCTAGATACAAGTGGCGATCCTGGGAAGCTCCGCTCGTTGTGATTCTCTCTCCTCTTCAGCGTTCCATGTTCGAGGAAACGAGTAAAAATATATCGGGCAATTACGCAACCCGTTGTTGTCGGGTGGCTAGCTCCTCTTGATCGTCCAAGTCGATCGCCCGGTCGGACGAGAAACGTTTGTTACCCTCTCCAGCCGTTGATGTGCTCCCTCGATCTATATACGAGTGGCGGCGTATCCCGAAGCTGCCAAGGAGGCGTACGGATTTACACACAGTCGAGGATCAGACTTCGTACAGCTCGGCCGATCCGAGCGGATCCAGGGAGCTTCAGCAACATGGTACCCTACGACGCGCGCCTTCTTCTGCTGCCAGGTAGAGCAAATCTTCCATCGATCCAACGAACGTGATCGATATCGACGTGTGGTCCTTTTATCGGGGTTCGATGACCTCTCTCTTCGTCGTTGTGAGTTTCGTCTTCGGTAACACGGGCGACATGTATCGGGATATTCTAGTCTGGATACAGAAACGAACAGTTTATTCTTGGGACTTTACCAAACGATTATTCGTAACATTGGCTAAAAACCTTCGTTGTTGGTACATACCACGTTAAGTACATTTTTTAATCAGATAACAAAGTATCCTCATGTTCGATGTGATTTCGGTGCTCCCCCGTCGACTGAACCTAAAAAAAACACACGCACATTGGCTGTTGTTGGGACTCAGAGTTTTGGGACAAAATGTAATAATTAAACGATCAAAATGCCAGCGTTTCGAAGACGAAGACACGAGTCTTGAAATATCATCGTTTGACAGTTAAAGAGATTCTTGGCATTGTGAAATCTTGATCCACCCATACTTTCGATACACTTTCTACGTTGCTTTTTCCCTAACATCGATGTCTCCGTCTTATAATAGTTACTTTCGATAAGTTTCACTGCTGTCACTTCAGCACGAACTTTAGTAAGACTGATCGTTCTACGAGCAAGGGGTTAATACCGAAAATATCGATGGTAGTTAAAGTTTGAATAACATATGGTTTCTACGATGCAGGCATTCTGTTTGGATTATTCATCCCGCGCGGCGACGCAGCGCCAGCCAAATACGATCAACAACAAACCGGCAACTACAACGTGGACGCGAAGTTCGAGAACTTCCTGTTCGTCTTTCTGGATTCCGATAAAAGTGGCCAGTTGTCCAAGTTGGCGCAAGAGGCGCTGCAGGTGCTGCAGCTAAACAGCCAAACCTCGTCGCGCGACGCCTCGAAACGAACACCATCGGAGAAACCGTCCGAACCAACGGTCTACGAGACGGAGGACAAAGACGAGGGCAGAGAGCCGTACCACGTCGAGATCGTGCGCATAGAGAAAGAAGGGGGACCATCAACGAGGAGCGAACACCCCGAGAAGTCGGGGAGTCCCGAGGCAAACGGTGGGGAGAAGATCGAACCGGGTACGTCTCCGACGAGCTTGGAAGGGGGCCTGGAAGTGTTTATCGAGAACAAGAAAAAAGGTAAAAAGACGAGAAGTCTGTGGAGAAACGAAGAGAGCCATGGACTGGTCGATGGTCCGAAAGAGGAGAGCAAGAGGCCGGGTCACATCAAGTATTCGATGATGGACAATCTCGCCCAATCCGATGATTTAACGGCGAGGGAAGAGATCTCCAAAGCCACCAGGCCGGGGATATCTTTGAAGAAGCAACTGTCCCGAAAGGAGGAGAAGGACGTGTCCTCGGTGTCCGAGGAACGAAACGAACTGACCAACAAGTCCCAGGAACTGGTGTTGCTTGGCGGTGGAATCGAAAACTGCGGACCAGGAAGATTCCGGGACAAGACGGGCATCTGCCAGAACGACAAAAATTTTTATTGAAATTCTTTTAGTTTACTGTACGATTCTTGTATCGATCAATATTGAATGTTTTAACGGATATTTGTTATTCTACTTATCGTTAGCGATTAAAGGATATATGTATAACAATTGTGATATGCATAACACCGTGGTTGCAAGCTAAACAATGGTGCTCTTAGATGTAATAGACCTATACAACGTTATAAACGCCTACATTCTAACATCTCAACTGAATTCATGTATATTTTAAGGCTCATCCCATTTTCTTTTTATACTTTATTTATACCATATTTTACTCGCACATTTGTATTATATATAAGAAGACAAAGAAATAAATTACAAGTTTGAACAAACGATGTCTGTTAAGTTTATTCTATTGCATTCATTTCACGAAATTTAATTACTTTACCACGAGTATATTTGGAGATTTAAAATTGGGCCCAATTCTCGAACAATGATAACTTGTTTCTGTCTATTAGAACCGCGTGTACAAATAGAAGAATGTGGAAGCATTCGTTTACATAACCTGTTCGCGTTCGTTGAATTCTGATTTTCAATAAGCTCGACAGGGGGCGCTGTTCGCGGTGAACCAGGAAGACTATGGTACGCGAAGTTCAAGCATGGCGGAAATGTGAGAGCAAGGGCAAGGTTACGGTAATAGGCGGCGACTGTGAGACAGAGGAACGGGGAAATGAACTCGGTGGGGCCACACGAGGCCGTTGCCCTTTACAAATCGGTTCCGTGCACGTGTGGGTAACCGCTTCCACACTATGAAACACGCACGTCCCTATCTCGTCGCGCACGCAAATGTTGCGTACACACAAACGGCGGCAAACCGGCTACCGTCGTTGTGTTGTTCCTTCTCGATGTCGAGCTTCGACTCGAATAGAATTACGCCACTTAATTGGCGCCAAAACGAAGCCAAAGATCGGGGCAAACACGGAACAGAGAGTACTTATCGTTTAAAAACTTTTTCTCACTAAAAATCTTCGAATCTAAAAGTCGATTTTTCTAACGAATTTAATAGGTTAAGAAACCTCGGGCTTATTATCGACAAGGTTACTTTCGGTAATGCGTTTAAAACGAAGAACGTTATTGCGATATTTCGTGCGAGTAAGATATCAAAGTCGGTAGAAAAATCGATTCGATCCAAGATTATGCTCCACCCTGGCTATGTATGCAAGAGAACGTGCACAGTGGCCCTCAGGTTCTTGAACTTGCCTGACGATCTGTTTCCATGCCAGGTGGGGACCGGGATCGCCGGTCGGCAGGAGACGTCGTCACACCTCGCTCATCCTCCGCATCGTCAAGACGTTCGTTTCTCACGCTACCATCACGCCACGGGCATCGTTTTTTCTCTCGACAAAGGGAATCGCAGTCCTTCTTTCGTATTCTCGATCGATCGTTCGGCCGTGCCAGCTGACCGGTAAACCCGAGACCAAACGCTCGAATCACGGTTCGGATTCTCTGTTCCGTGACACGACGAAACGAAAACGTTCGAGAGAGTCTCCGAGGAACGTCAAGGAACATCAACGATATTTCGGCACCGATAATCGCGACGCGTATCGATGCTATCGATCAACATGCGAGTCTTCAAAACGGTGCTGCTCCTCGCCGCGTTCTTCTTTAGCAAAGCGAAGTGTTTACCGGTCGCGAACGAGTCATCGATCGCGGAGTCGCCAACCTCGACGCCATCTACCCTCAGTTCCTCGGAGGGCGATTATTACGATCAACGACAAAACGGAACCGACAATTACCGTGTCCACGTGGACGGTTTGGTGCTCGTCTTTGCTCCCGTCGAGGCGCTCCTCCTAGCCGGTGCTGCTGGTGGTAATAAACCTGACTTACCTGTTCTTGATCTGTCGAAGCCGCCCTCGGATAAACCGGAAGTAGAATTTAAACCGTTGCCAGCGCCTAAATCAGCAAACAGGTAATTTTGTTTAGTTTTTATCGATAATTTCACAAATTATTACAATCTACATCCTAGACGATTTACGATAACAAAAAATAATGTCGTTTGCCCATTAGAGATGGTCAGAATTTAATTCAATATACAGGATGTTCGACCATCCCCGGGAAAAATTTTAATGGGGGATTCTAAAAGCCAAAATAAGACGAAAATCAAGAATATTAATTTGTTGATGGAGGCTTCGTTAAAAAGTTATTAACGTTTAAAGTTCCGCCAGTACTGAATTTTTTTCTCGAAAATGCGCAAGATTTCGGGGGTACGTGTAATGACCAAAAATTATTGTAATTGACCCCCGCAATCGAAAATAATTTTTCCAAAAGGATTTGAATTTTTTTTTTCCGCCGAAAAATTTCACACCTTCTCGAATTTTTTTCTAGAAAGTGGATAGGATTACGGGGGTATATCTATTCACCAAAAATGATTGCAATTGACCCCCGCAACCAAAAATAATTTTTCCAAAACGATTTGAATTTTTTTTTTCCGCCGAAAAATTTCACACCTTCTCGAATTTTTTTCTAGAAAGTGGATAGGATTACGGGGGTATATCTATTCACCAAAAATGATTGCAATTGACCCCCGCAACCAAAAATAATTTTTCCAAAACGATTTGAAATTTTTTTTTCCGCCGAAAAATTTCACACCTTCTCGAATTTTTTTCTAGAAAGTGGATAGGATTTCGGGGGTATATCTATTCACCAAAAATGATTGCAATTGACCCCCGCAACCAAAAATAATTTTTCCAAAACGATTTGAAATTTTTTTTTCCGCCGAAAAATTTCACACCTTCTCGAATTTTTTTCTAGAAAGTGGGTAGAATTTCGAGGGTATGTCTATTGACCAAAAGTGATTGTAATTGACTCCCTCAACCGAAAATAATTTTTCCGGAACGATTTGAAATTTTGGAATTTAATTGTTAATAACTTTTTAACGAAGCCTGCATCAACAAATTAGTATTCTTGATTTTAGACTTATTTTGGCCTCTAGAATATCCCATTAAAGTTTTTCCCAGGGTTGGCAGAACATCCTGTATAATTGTATTTTACAATTTTGTCCATCTTTGGTACCTTCATCACACTGCTTGATTACACCAATAAGCGACATAAGAATTGCATGGTGAAAGCATAAAAGTGAAGATCGTACCTACCTACGACAATTCACAGTGGGGAAAATGGCATTTTTTAAATGTATTGTAAATTAATGGAAACCTTGAAACTAATATGAATATATCTTTATTCCAGGGCTGGATTGCGTTTGGCAAATCTACTATCACCGTTCCTGCGTCGTTTTCGCCAAGAATGAAAGAGTCTCGACTCTTACTTTCATCATTAATTTCCTAACAATTACGTAGCACCCCCATTCATATCATCGCATTACATTGTATTACGTTTATCACGAAAACGGACTGGTTAGTTTAAAGTAGTCATTTTTAGATAATGTCGCACATAAGGGATTATATGAATGTGAGAAACTAGTTAAAAAAAATGGAGAGTTACTAAAACTTTAGAGAATAAAAATATTCCACTAAAACTTCACAAGATCTAGCAAACGGTGCAAGGTTCATATGCATGGGATATTTTCTATCTTTAGTGTGAATATATCACCCGTTCATTCCTCTGTTTTTTGACTCATATACATGTCTTTCATAAACATTTTTATACATAAGGATATAATGTACGATATGTTCTTATCGAAATGAAATTTATTTGATTAAAAATTAAAATACATTATTCGTGAGTTCTTTTTGGTATATCATCACAATATTTTGTATAAAAAATGCTTAGGACTATGTTCCTCAGAATACACGTCATCTGGGTGGAATCGTTTATGTCGTTGAAAGAAAAAAAAAAAAAAAACAAAAAATGGGAGGGCGAAGAGGGGGGGAAAAAACGATCACTTTCACACGGACTTTACAGATACAGTTTTTATAGTAAGTAACTTGTACTTCAAAGGAGAAAGAAACTTTTTAAAAAGCGATCCTTGGAACGCATTAGAATACAAAGTAAGTTTCACAATGGTCGCTTATATACATCGTCTCAACTCACATGACGAATAATTGTGAATCGTGGAACCGTGTACAAGAATATGTTTTCTCAAATATATCTCACCATTAAAATAGAAAGCAGCTCTGTGTAACGTTGTTTTCTTTTTCCTTTACATTCTCAATGCTCGCGGGGTAACTATCCCATTTGATAAACGTTTCCAACGAAAGATGCCTCAACAATTATAATTACCGATGAAAAATGTAAGGACATTCACAAATATCGACAACGGATTCCCCATTCGTCAATACAATGCCAATCCTCGCGATGATAATGTTGTACCGTAAAACTAATGTACCCTGTATTTCACATTAGAAGATTACACGTGTTTTTTTTTTTTTTTTTTTTTTCAATATTCGAACGAAGAAGCGAACTTCAATGAATCCGTTAAGGTACATTAAATTCTATAATCGCTTCCCTAGTACACGAGGAATTAATACTCTCAAAAATGTACATCGTGGTTACAGCACGATGAAATGCACTCGGTGGGGCACGAGAAATTCATTCGTTAGTCACGATTAAAGTTATTCCTTGATTCGATCTACGCATTAAGCAATTAACCGCAATTAATTCTAACGCGGGACAACTAACCCTTAATTTAACGTTACGCGAAACGATAATGATTGAAAAGTATGATTCAAATTACGCGCGTACGCGCGGCCACGTTCCTGTCTCGTGATCATACGCTACTTATTCAGCTTCAAAAATTATAGAGGCTTTGTCTGTTATATACAACGACACGAGTCAACGATAAAATACTAAAAGCGATGCGCACGAATATACCTGCCATTATGACGGAACGAAGAAAGCTGTACATGACTCCCGACACACGCAAAAATGCCTGCAGCGTTTCGACTATGGTATTACCAAATCACGTTGGCTGTGTTTCGACGAAGAACCAAGTTCTTGCGTGCTAACTCTAGCGGACAAGATCGTTAGAATATTTCGACGTGGATTTCGCTCGAGCATCAACGAACAGTTATATGCAAACGATATCAGAGACTCGGTTATGGACGTACATCGTCGAAAATGATAAAAAAAAAAAAAGAAAAAAATAAAGACGAGGAAACACGTTTAGGAAGGAAGTTGAGCGGCTGCGTTTGCGTTGAGATCTTCGCAGTCTGTAGCTTCTCCAGGGCCACTATTATTAGCAACTGCGGGCTCGTGAAATTTTAATTCCTCCTTACCCGCCTACAGAGGAATTATTCCATTTGACATCTTTTTTAAAAAGTCAATTGCTCGTTAAAAATATTATTTAAGAACGTCTTCAGAAGGATGTTTTATAGATACGTATCGTTAACATCGCCGACCATTACCTCTTTGATCAGCAGACGGCAATTTTCCATCACGCTGCGCCTTCTGTCCGAGGTATTGTTTAAAATCTCTTCGGACTGATGGAGGTTGTCCACTATCTTACGCAGCTCCTCTAATTCCGTAACGGTTACCACCAATTTCGTTTCTAATTCGGATCTGTGAATTATCACGCAGTTTTAATTACGGTTTGCATGCGTCTTGCGACCAGGGATCGAAAATCGTCGCGACATCGATTATTTATCGGTTCGGACACGGTTTTCGATCCCTGGTTTTTTTTTAACTGGGAACCCCAAATGGCAATGAAACACGAGCTTACTTCTCCTCTTTCAGTTCCTGTATACACGTATCGTTATCTAGCTGTATGATACGCAGCACTTTTAACAATTTAGTAACAAGATTATCTACGTCGATTACTTGATCAACAAGACCAACGGCGGGACAATAATCCGAAGCCAGCGGACCATCGTTGGTGCCAGTGTCAGATTCGCTAATCGAATCGCAATCATCGTCCTCCTCGTTCTCCACCTGCGAATAACGTAAATTGATAATACTGTATCTTAATCGTTGATTCCCTTGCGAAGAGACATGGCTACCTTGCGACGATGCAGAATCGCCTGCGTGAGATTCGTCAGACTGGAGCACTCGTCGTTGATGCGGGTCTTTTTTAGATTGCTCTCGTCCACCGTCTCGGGAAAGCTCAGAGCTCTGCGCAGTGAATCGCTGCTCGACACCATGTTGTGGGAGTACGTGTCGGGCAGGGGAACATCTTCCAGCACGCTCTCCATCATCAAGCACGGCTCGGTCTCGAAATCGAGCAAATCGGACGACGACTCCATGCTCAATTCTAATTAAACAAACGAACAACGCGTATTGATCTCTTGGCAAATACAATATAGTCTTGGAGAAAGAATATAAAATTCCCTGCAGGTACCTTTGTACATCTGTTTGGCCGTCTCCAACGTAGGCTTCTTATCCGTATTTCTCGTTGCGAAAGGATGCGTTGCCGCGTTCCGGATGGCCCCAATTACCGCCGACACGAAGGACCCGCTCTTTGGACTAGGAGTACACTCTTTCAGACTATGTTTCGAACTGACGGGACTCGACTCGATGCTGCTGTTGCTTCTGCTGTACGCCTCGTTATGATATATCACGTCCTACGTACGGAAATGATACTAATTAACTATCAATCACCGAACGTAACCGGCGCAATGGCAATATTACAAGGCACCACCTCGAGATCTTTCACCGAGATATTGTAGGAGGTTATCAATTGGTCCACGAGTCCTTCCAGCCTGGTCCCCAGACCGGAAAGCGCGACTGCAGCGCCGGAAACAGCAGCGCCTTGCGTGAGCAGCAGTTCCCTGCTTCGTCGTTCGACTGCATTCAATTTCATGCTCATAGATAAATTCTCTTGTCTGTCGACAAACGAAAAGAGATGATTTACAATTCACCTTAACAGACACTATCAGAACCACTGCAAATACGCACCGTCGTTGTTCACTGATTCGCACTAGATGCTTGCACTCCTCCGTCTGCCGTTCCAATTCCACTTCGCGTTTCGTCAGCATCTCCTCCTTCTTCGAAAGCTACGAATCGAGCAGAAATTAGACATCCGGGAAATTAAACTCTCGACGTTTGTTTACCAAATGGAATACCTCCGTTTCCGCCTCTTTCAGAGCATCCACCAGAGTAGCTTTCTCTTCTTGAAGGAAGTCTTGCATCTCAGCGGATTCCGCCTCTAATTCCTGTTGCTGTTGCAGCAACGCCTTCTGGGCGGCCAGGCTCTTCTCTAAATCCTTCCCGAAGGACAACGAGGAGTCAGTGATTTTGGATATCATATAAAACACTTTATTATTCGCTTCTTACCCTACTCAACATGCGGCACAAAGACTGAAGATCCGCTATTTCCAACTGCTGATTAGCGACCACTTGGCCGGAAGACTGCAAATGGCACTCAAGCTCCAGGAAACTGTCGCTGCCCTCTGCAAACAATCCACGGTTAACATTCACCGTCTAACAAACAATCTAGGAGAACGTGGTCTATTACTCTTCGCTTATAAATCTTTAATAAATGCAACAGCACCTGCTTGCTCGGATTGCGGGGTCCCCAGCATCGCCAGCACCCGTTGCGCGTTCCTATCCAGTTCCTGCCTCGCGAACGCATGATCTGCCTGCTCTTCCTCCAGCAGACGTTTCACCTCCGTGATCTCAGCCTTCAGTTTCTCGTTCTCCTCCTTCTGACAGGACGTCTCCTCGTTCAGCCGCTTCAGATCTGTGTGCATGGTATGCATGTCCTCCCACGTGCCCTCCGTCTGACAGCCCTCGTGCAGTCTCTCGACCACTTCCGGTCCCGCGATGGCGCTCGGCACCCCGGACAACGCGTTCTCAATATCCTGACCGGTCAAACCAGTTTGCACGCTGGTCTCGTGATAAATACGCGTCTTCTCCGCGGTTTTGTGTCTAGGATAAGGCGGCAGGCTTTTGTGAACGGCGGACTCCTTTCCAGCTATCTTCCTCTCCATCTGCCTGCTCAGACTGGCGTCTCTGCTGCCGGACCTGCTCCTGGTGACCTTGTCCGTCTTCTCGCCGATCTTGGGAATGCTGATCTTGGTCCTGTTCCTTCTGGGCAGCGTGGCGTACGTGTCCAGAGCCTTGTTGTCCGCGCTGATGGTCGATTTGTCGAGTTTACCAGCTCTGCCAGCCTCCGTGCGACCAGTGTACGGTACCCTGGGCGCGCACAGAGGTTTCCGCACCTCCTCGGACGGCGTGGAGCTCGGTGTGCGCGCGCCCCGCGTACTGGATCCTCCCCTGGACCTGCAGCTCCCGCCAGGACCGCGTCCCCGCTGCGCCAAGTCTTTGTTTATCTCCGTGGTCAACGCTGATGGCAGTGAGTCCGGGATCGGTCTCGTCCTCGTTCGCGGAGGCATGGTGACCGTCCCGGAGCGGAACGACGTCGACACACGGCTACTGGTCGGTGTGTTGTCGCAGGTGCCTTCTTTCACCGTCGATTTCTCCCGCGATCTGGCCCTGTCCCTCGTCACCGGCTGCGTCTTGCTCAGGATGCTCCGCGGTGGGACGGTGCGTGGTTTCGAGCGCGGTGTGGTCGACAGATAGGTGGTGCTGACGGGCGCCACCGGTTTCCCGCGACTGGTCTTCTGCGCCTCCGTCGCGCCGGTCTTCTTCTTCCCCACGTTGGACGCGGCCACCGTCCTCTTGGTGTTCGTTCTGCTCGTGCGGACCGACACGCTGCCCGCGATCGAGGAACTCTCGCTGCCGCCCTCGCTGGTGCCCTCGCCGCCGGTGGTCAGTCTCACGTCGTCGGGCAACGTGGCGCACGGGTCCTCGTACACGGAGCAACAGCTCACCAGGCTGGAGTCGCAGGACGCTTCGTCCAGGCCGCCGCAACTGCTCGCGTAATCTATACTGTTCCGACTACGGACCTGAAAACCAGCAGGGCAACGTGAGGAACAATGCTGTAGCTTGGGTCAGGTGTGGAAAGGGTCGTTTGGGTGAGGGGGGCCTTGACGAAATTGTGATCTACTCTGTGTGATCACAAGTATTAGCATTTTCTAAAACGTACTGATATTATCACTCCCTAGAGGAAGGTAAAGGTCTTGAAGTGGCCCTAAGACCACGATTAAACGAAGCTATGACTACCAGGGGGCTCGATTCCCTGCGAATAAATAATTGAACGGCGCAACGACCCGTCGCGTTTTCCACGAAGAAGGCGCGCGATCGATCTTTACCCTGGGAACCTCGGTGGCGCAACCCTCCACGCCGCTGTCGCTGCCGTCCTTGCTGTCCTTTCCCTCGACCGCGTAATCCTTCCTGTCGCTGCTCTGATCGGCTTTGTGCGACTCAGACTCCGTCACGTGGATCACGGTGATGTTGCAGTCGCTGCTGTTCATCGTGCCGTCCGGATCCTCCTCGTCCAACAGCTTGCTGGTGTCGCCCACGGGCGACGCCAGGTCCTCCGGTACTCCTGAATCCTGTCTCGCCACGTTATGCACCGACGACACTTTAAGGCTATTGTCCTCGAGTGGCGTATCCATCTCGAGGCTGGCTTGCTTGTTCTGCGGGGAGACGCTCATTTCGTGGTCGCCATTCTGAACAGAGAATAACCCTTTTTATTTTTATATTCAACGATTCGTTTTGCGGAAATGCTTTGCTGATGGAGGAATCAAGACAAATCCGTAGGAAGGTAATGAAGGGGCCTAACTAAGGGACTCATCAAGTAAGGCTTTCAAAAGCAGGCTCTGCCTTAGACGCCTTTTTTTTTTAACGCGTTTTCATGTTTCCTATATATCCTGGCGTCCTATAACCTGCACTTAAAAACGTCTGTTAAGGGTTCTGGAATATTTATAAGGATGCGGATATTGTGATTTTCCTTGGGTTAGGGGGCTCGAGGGAAAACTTTCAAAAACCTCGTCTACATGAATGCTTTAGACGATCTGTTGGGGTTTGCGTATATATAGGAACGGAGGGTCAGTCAATCGCTTGCGAGAAAACGACCCCTCTGGTGGCGAGTACGAGAGGCGACGCCCACAGTTTCGTACCTGTTAAAATTAACACTATGTTCATGCTTTGAACCGGAAGAAAATCAGATTGTCAGAGCCACTCCCTCGACTGTGAATCTTTGGCGATTTAAAACGTAAACGATTTCCTTTTTCCGGCTTTTTTCTGCACCAGAGCATACTAACAAGCCTATGACGCAACAGACACAAAATTCCTGGCGAAGTTTGAACGCGATCGATGGCACAGTTCGCCCGGTGTATTCCTCATCGACGATCGAGCAGGAAATGACGCAACAAAAGGACGTTCCCAACAGTTCGTTCGCACGAGCGAGAGATTCGGTAAGAATTAACAACCCGTTAATAATAATCTTCGATCCTATCTATTTTTACGAACGAACGTTCACGGTCAGGATAAAAATTCCGATTTACGGTTGAAACAACTGTCCGGTACCAAGGGCAGACGAATCGATTGGAAAGCAATTAAAATCCGGATTTTGACCGTAGCGCGCGGCAATCACGGCCATATTCGATTACCGATGAATAATATCCGGGCCGGCGTTCCTTCCAGGAATCACGAAAACGAAACACGCGCGGACCAATCGTTTCGGGGCTCGCCGGACGCCCAATCTTGGTCCAAATAGATCCGAGGAAATTCTCGACAAACAAGATTACGAGATGCAATCGTAAGGGTGGTTATTAAATGGTATAAAATTTTCTCAGCTTGAGGTAGACCCGATTCGTTGAACAAGCCTGTATATCTGCTTGAACGGTGACTACCCAGAGGCGAAATGGGATTGCTATACCGGCGCGAAATTATGATCGTGCGTTACCGTATTACGCAATCGTACCGTGTAATTTATCATCAGCTGCGACCGCGAGAATCCGAGGCGTGTCTCGCTTGCGAAACTTTTTTCAAACGGTCGTGAAACCTTGCGATTAAAATGCAAGGAAATGTTGACGAAAAAATGAATATCAATCATGAAAAATTTCTTTTTCGTTTCAATGAGTAGAAAATATGACCTAGTAATCTAGAAAATGTTTTTTTATTTTCGATGTGTCCTTTAAAAATTCGCGACCATTTCCGAAACGGAAAAAAAGGCGCCATCGTTTATCAGATCCGCGGAAATAATGGCCGCGCTCGTTCACTCGCGTCATTAATCGTTCTGTCTTAATCTGTCGCGTGTTTTGCTCGCCCGCCGCTCCCCGCTCTGCCTCTTCCGCGCTATTACGTGTATTTCAATCGTAATTGACGGAGCATTCTTCGCGTCACCGACCGGTGTTCCCCTTTCGCGCGCGGCTGAATCGCGTACAACGCGTTTCGAGTGCTCCTCGTATCGTACTCCGCACGTTGTCATTGAATAATTATCCCCGCCACGAAAGAATCAATCGCGTCGTATCTCGCGAGCGATTCACCGCGGCTGATAAATGCCAACGCGAACACGTCCAATTCCCGGAAGCGTTTCACACCACGACACATAATAGCTTTCTTTAACACATTTTCAAACCATAAAAGAAATATCTCTATGTCGTACATATGTAGAGAGAGATTGTTGTCTCGTTATTCGTTGAATGGAGCTTCCTATCTCCGCGGTTCATCCCAACGAGCCTGCTTGTTTACTAAAACGTCACAGCCATTACTCCCGATCGCGATAATCGACCAGGAGTGACCGAGAACTTTCAAAGCGCTCGTGGCGCGCCGCTAATGCCCCGACGGGGAAGTCCCGAATACTAGACACCGCTATTGGTCGGCCTGGAGGACCCCGTTGCACGCCGCGCCAGGCGAAACCATTATTACGGCGACGCGACGCTGAAATTCGCGCTGTGTCATAGAAGCACTCGCGAAACGTACTTCTACTGAAACGATCAACGAAGGAACGTTCATACAATCAGTTTATTTCCTTGCACACCAAGTTCGTTAGGAAACACTAGACAGTCATTGCATCAGTCTTCGATCATCGTGGAAAAAGAAGAGTATTAAAACTTCTGAAAGCAAAGGAACACTCGCGAGACACGAAAGAACGGACGTCAAAACGGCGAGAGACTCTCGAATAACCAAAGTCCCGGGGAAGCACAATCGGGAACAACACCGGTGAAATCGATCTGCTCGCGTTGCATAAGTTTCCCGTCTCGGTCAGTTTCGATTTACAGAAACAATTCTACGATTACACGAGCACGCGATCGATTTGAGGAACATGGGTGTCGCAGAGGCGAGCGTGAGGAAGATCCGCGGCGACGGTTTGTCCTTAAAATTATCGTCCAACGAGCAGATCCTCGAGATCGTCGGCGACGGATGCACCGTCACCGTGGGCAAAAACTACGGATGCGTGCGCGTGATCGGCGACGCATGTCGATTGAGGATCGACCTGAACTTGGGAGACGTGGAGTACCGGGGGGATGGGGGACGAGTGCTGTTGGGCCCGAAATCGTCGCGAAGCAAGGTTAGGTACGAGGGGGACGACGGGAAAATAACGTTCGACGGCGACACGAGGACGAAAAACCGAAAGATCGAACGATCATCGAAGAAGACGGACGACGATGCACGCAAAGAGCATTCGTGCAACGTCGAGGAGACGGAGAACGCTTTGAACGAGAGGAGAGAGGCGAAACGACTCGGTTTAGGGAACAACCGAAAGAAAACGGTGGTCAAATCTTACGATGGAGCCACTTTCGTCAAAGTCAGCGCGACGGAAAAGAAGGTTAAAGTGACCTCTACGCGATGAAGCTTGAAACGCTTCGTAGCTATAAAATAACGTAAAAATCGAATTACTTCGAATCTGATTCGAAGCCTCTGAAGTCTTGAGAATCCTGTATTGATTCTTAAGAATTTTTAAGTATTAAAATCCTTAACGTACTTAAGTCCTAAACGCTTTAAAGGTTACTAAATTATTTAATTATGTGTGTGATGCGTGGGTAGCAAACGTGTGTGTGAATCAACGTTCCTGTATCATATCGTTCCTTGATTATTTTCTACTTTGTAAATTAATTTATCGAGCTTCCAGTGTACGCAAGATGTGATCTCAAATAATATTGTATTATAGCGGTAAAATAAAAATTGTACAATGAATAGAATTAAGTAATATTGAAAATAAAGAATATATTTTTCTTCATCGATTAGTCAGTTTTTTCGTACCAGTCATTTTCAGCCATCTTATAAAATAGATATACCTTAAATATTCATAGGTTCTGGTATCAAATCCGACGAAGACTTAATTAACATCTCCGCCCGAAAATATCTCGAGCAAACTTTAATAAATGTTTCGCAAAGAATGATGCCAGAGTTCTGTGATTATCGAAGGTCAATTTAAATATAAAAAGAAGACCGTAGGTACATAGCCACGCTCCATAGAAACCGTGTATGATCGATAAAGCATCTCCAGTAAATCATCGCCAAACATTGCGATATTCGGCGAACTCGTCGAGTTTTGTCTAAGCCGTACATAACCTATCAACTGGGTCAAACGAAATGAAACATTTTCTGCAGGCCAAATTTCCGACTGCGATGAAAATATAATATATTTCTATTTAATATAAAACTCTACTTCTTGCACGAGTGATTATTTCTTTTTTGCAACGCGAGAAAGGTGATCTATGAAGTCTTTTACGTTCTAATGAACGGAATCTATTGTCGCAAGACGTTTGATGGAATCCATTGTGCCAATTATGCGACACGTGTTCATTGTAACGAGTTTTTACATTTTCCTTGTCAAATATACTGCGTACAACATCAATCGTCGTCAGACAATGGCAGTCGTAATCACAATGGATCCAACCGAGATTCTTTTCAACGACCACGTGTCCCCCGGGCTCCACCGCCGACAATATTAATTCGCGATTGTTGCATAACGTTTCTTCTGGGTCAAAGGTATTACAATATCAACGATTCCGGCTGAATTGTTTTCGCTTATCGAGTATTAGCATATCTGAGGCAACCATTGGAATATTGGGTATTATAGAAACGAAGAAGGGGCGTCCGCCATTGTTCAAAGTTCACGATTCTAATATGTACGCTGAATGTACCAATCGAGACAGCTCAGAAGTTGCAATATTGTCTCGTTAACTATTACAGCATTTACTGCCACGCCTGTTTTCAATATCGAGACACGTCGTCGGTCACCGGTGACCACCATGGCGTAATCCTCCCAGAAGAGATATTTAGCTTTTGACATTTCCTAGTACTTTTTGCAATTCTTATCAACGATATCGATAAATGATAATGTCAAGTTGCTCAAGCCAATCAATGATAGAATTCCGAATTGGCCCCCCCTGCTATCAGAAGTGCGATTAATTCAAATGGAATTCCCCTAATCCTCGATCTGATATCGAGATTAAAAATTCCAAAGATAAGATTTTGCGTAACGAACCATCGGAATCCAGAGCCCTTCGCTTCTTAATTTCCGTCGACTTTCCACAGCACCGAAACCTTTTACTAGAAACTTGCAATAACGAAATGCAGACGATCCATACCGCCAAACGCTTTTAAAGGGCCTCGATAGGACACAACCTATCGCGTATCGATAAGCTTAATAGGGTTATCTTATCGCGATAAAAAGGGGTCCTCCAAACGATAGCCAAAGTCAAGTACAGATCGCCAAATGGAAATTTCGAGGACGCCCACAAAAATCGCCGCCACTCTAAAGATTAAAATCAGCGTCGAATATTTTGGCCGCTCGAGACTATTTTCTAGGTCATAAGTCACACCTCAAGTCACGTTCTTTCTCAAGGGTGCATTCTACCGTAACAATTACACGTATAATATGATTTAATTGTTATCCAAATGAAAAACGCCCATCTCTGTGGTCTCACGCGATGGAGTGGGGTACGTGCTCGATGGCCTTGAGCGGCCAAAACATTTGGCGCTCGGAATCCCGTATCACGCGTGAAAACAAGCACGTTCGTTCCTTCATTAATTCAAGGAGGAACGCGTTGAATCAAGGGCCCCGGTCTCGAGCCATTCAAGCTCTTTCATTCGACTCTGACCCAGCTTTTTCGCTGGGGCAAAGGTCGCCGGTTGGTAATGGAGGTCAACTGGAGATCGTTAGCCAAGTTTCTTGCTCGAGAAAATTCGCTTTACTTTGTTAACGTCGTTGGGAACCGACGGAGGGAAAAAGTTCCGCCGGCTACTGGGTTCTCCCCCGCAGCTATGGAACCTAAATGATTTCGAGGAAGAATCTTGATTATAGGGGAAGGGGGTGCACGAGTTTTGTAAAGTAATTTGGGGTAAGTGAGCCGTGCGATCTCTGCACGTGTTCGAAATGTTCGCGCGCTAAATAAAATCTATCGACTCATCAGTAAGGCTTACAGGTGTTCGACTATCCCAGGGAAAAATTTTAATAGGGGATTCTAGAGGCCAAAATAAGACGAAAATCAAGAATACCAATTTGTTGCTGGAGGCTTCGTTAAAAAGTTATTAACGTTTAAAGTTTCACCCCTACTCGAATTTTTTTCTCGAAAATGTGCAAGATTTCGAGGGTATGTGTAATGACCAAAAATTATTGTAATTGACCCCCACAACCGATAATAATTTTTATAGATCGATTTGAAATCTTTTTTCCCGTCGTAAAATTTCACACCTTCTCGAATTTTTTTCTGGAAAGTGGGTAGAAATTCGGGGGTATGTCTACTCATCGAAAATGTTTGTAATTGACCCCCGCAACTGAAAATAATTTTTCCAGAACGATTTGAAATTTTTCCCCCCGTCGTAAAATTTCACACCTTCTCGAATTTTTTTCTAGAAAGTGGGTAGGATTTCGGGGGTATGTCTATTCACCAAAACTGATTATAATTGACCCCCGAAACCGATAACATTTTTTCCAGAACGATTTGAAATTTTTGAATTTAATTGTTAATAACTTTTTAACAAAGCCTCAGTTAAGAAATTGATATTCTTGATTTTCGTCTTATTTTGGCCTCTAGAATCTCCCATTAAAATTTTTCCCATGGTCGGAGGGGTCGGTCGAGTGCTTGTGAGAGCGCAAACCCTCTGGTGGCGAGGCCACACACTAACCAATTAATTCATTTTTAAATCTATTTCAACGAACTCTGTCGATCATTAAATTGGCGATCAAAGGATCGAGACGGGATCGTAATAATGATTTTATGATAAAGGCTCGACGATGCGAAAGATGAGCCATAACGAGGCGGCAAAAGGGTCGACGCGAAAGCGGAAAGGACAGGGACGAAACGAGGCGCAGAAAGTCGATCGGGGCGGATGCAATTAACAAAATACAGTGGGACGAATAGAGCGTGCTGAACCACCCCCAAAGCGGAGAAACTCACGCCGGTTAATGAGGCCACGTGTACAGACAATACCGAGCCTCGATATACAGGGTGGTACACGCGTTCAAAACCACCCTAAAATAAATCTGTAAACACCGGGTTTGCAATCTCTCATTTCAAATATTTAATCAAATTAAAAGTCGTTTGTTCTTATTTGTCTCGAATGGGAAGGGATCAGAAGCAAGATAATATGAAACGTTATGAAATTAACGAGGCGCCTAACTGTAACTAATCTATCTGATAAGCTCATTTACGTTGCTTTGTAAACACAATTCCTGCATTCATACTAGAAAGTATGTCGCGATTGAACTGATACAGATCCGCAACGTGCAGTCTTATTGTTTTGATAAAAAGAATCCATCAGCATCACTGGGAAACGCTGATCTGTTATAACACCCGTCAATTAAAAGTTACAAAGAACTATGCAACGAAAATTACTGCCGTGAAAGATTTTTCATAAAAATCGGCGATTATTAATTGGATGATATTCCTCGTTAGCGAAACTCAGTTTAGACGTGAAATCGCATTATTTAGAAGAGATTGTATTGTGAGGAGAAAGAAAGATCGAGCCGGAGATAGAAGATGTGGTACCGTGAGTTAGGTGAAGGTGAATGCGTTCGGTATCGAGTGATTTTCGCTGTAGACTATGCCTGACCTAATACCGTTTCTAGAACTTGTCTTTCCTTTACCCAGCAATATATTTTACAATTCGTATTACAAGTACTTACTTATGTAGCACTCTGTGTATAAAAATATTGCGTGTGAAATTTCCTTTTGAATAATGAATCTATGTATTGCTATAACAGGTCAGATTTATCGGATCCTAATGAAGCTATCCGCAATGCAGACGAGACGTCAGTACCCTAATACCGTTGAACGCGAGATATATGTATACCCAGACGTTTCGGATTACATTAATAAAGACTGTGGCCTCTCTATACCTCGTACCGTTCGATGTCAAGGCCTTTTTTTAATCTCTCACGGATGAAAGTCGACGGTCGTCGCCTAGACGCTTTCGCTATCTTGAATCAATAGTAACAGAAAGCGTCGACGAGTATTATCGCATGCCCGATTGCGTGGAATTCGAAGTTTACCGCGCGAGACACGCCTCGACTAAAAATATCTCTCGAATCAGCAATTCGAAATGCATAATTTTTCACCATAGAAAATGAATATTCGTCTGGTTCGAAAGACGTGTACCACCCTGTATATACGGTCGGACGTAATACATCTCGAGCGTCGGGTTGTCGGGGTCCCTCCTGGCAAGAGTATCGCAGTCGCTTACGTTTCGTATTTAGATCTGCGTTTAACCCAGAAGCAAACACGAGCCGTCGAAAGAAAGAAAAGAGTTCAACTCGTACAAGCCGCGCGAATCGAGCCAGCTGGAAACGAGCGTTCTTAGCAGATTTCTGCGTCGACTCGTTTGGTCCAGATTTCGTCCTCAAAGAAGCCTTTTTCTCAAGCGTTCGAACCAGTGGTTTTCAAACGCTTTCGAAGGCGTTGAAAAACCAATTCGGTCCACGTCACGGCGCTCACGAGCCGTCGTTAGAAATTCTGCCCTGAAATGTTGAAGACCGAATCAGAGAATGAAATCGTT